AAATCCCACACACGTTGAACACCATCCAGTGACGATTGAAGAGGCCACTCTCACTGAAGGCTGCAAACCTGTCTTGCCCTTAGCCCACTGTGGTCGCTTGCCACATGAGCATGGAGTCCACACCCTTTCAATCCTTTCCCTTTCTCAGGCTGCAGCTTCTCAGTCTGCAGGCCTGGTTCGCACCTGAAGAGCGGTTCCTCGGATGGCGGAAGTACTGCAGGTTTGTCGTGGCGAGGCTGAGGAGCCCTCCGAGCCCTTGCGCTTAGACGGTTATCCTATCCTTTTGGAGGTTCAACGCTTGACTTTTGTTGATCATGCGAGGTGGATTGAAGCTCAAGTTGCAGACTTCGACGATGCGAACGACTCAGGTGTTCTCCGCTGCTTGGCGCTGACAGCATGCTTTGTGATTCTGAGGCGACGGGGCAGTATCTTTGCCGCCTCTCAAAGGAGGCGGGCAGTGGACTGCCTCATCAGCTGTGCGAAGCCGCGTCATCAACAGACTGAACTCGAAGTTCATGACGATGGAAAGAAGCCACGTTGGGGCTTATTCGTGGGAGTTTAAGAAGACCGTGTGGCTTTGTGCCTTTACGTGTTCGTCTAGACATGCAAGGAAACGCATAGCAAAGAGGAAGGCAACTCGAGGCCTTGAAGTTGCTCGGCTGTGAGCTCTCAAATCGCCCAACAACAACTTCAAGTGACTGTAAGTGACTCTAACATGCAGCATCAGACGGCGCAGTGTTCGTCGATGCTGTGCGCTTCTGTGCCTGCGTGTCTTCTCTGCTGACTGCGCATGCTGCGATATTGCTTTGGCTTTGTGTGACTGCAGAGGCCGAAGAGGCGGGCTGAGCCAGGGCGGAATGGGCCCTGAAGTGGATCTCCGTCTTCTTGCTTTTTTTCCGTTAAGTCGCCGGCAGGTGCTGCCCCGGGACCTCCGCCAGCCTTCGCAAGCGCGGCTTGGCGTGGGCGCCATCGTGGCGGCGCGGTGGAAAAGCTGTTCTCATTTGAGGTGCCTAGGTGGTCCTGTCAGGTGCAGGGCCTGCAAGCCGGAGAGTGGAACGAGAAGAATGGGAAGGCGCGTCCACGGCAAAGATCAATAATGTTTTTTTGTTGGGGTGCGCAGGTCACTGAGTTTGATGAGGAGCGGCAGAGGCGATTGAGATTGACTCTGACACTTGGACACAGGAGCCTTGCAAAAGCGGATGCCGCTGAGAGGTACCAAGTGCAGGTGGAATCTGGCAAAGCACTGAAGTGCTCGCCTCATGGCCGAGTTGTTAGCAGCTTTCTTGACTTCGCTGGCAGCCTGCAGCCTTACTCAGGATCAAGCCAGAGAACATACGCTTGTTCCCCCTGGCATGACAATGCCGCGCAAGCTGACACGATGGGTGCATCGCTGTTGCCAGTCTTGCCAGTGGCCCCATGTCAGCATACCTTCGTCTCAGCACCTATCCGGCTGTGGGAAGTCGGAGGTGTGTAGGCCCTAGGCCGAAAGACACCGCAATGCCGTGCAATGTGCACCAGACACAAAAGCCCGGATCCAGCCGTTTGTTGCGCTCTGCAGTGTGGCAGTCTTGTCCACAGTCGATCCCTTGGAGCTGAGTTGCTGTGCCAACATTGGCTCTGGTCTAGGGCCTATTGAGTGCAACAGGCACATGAGCAGGACCATAGGATCTAAGAGTTCAATAAGTCCATTACATGCCAGAGATGTAGGAAAAGACCGGCTATTGTCAAGTTCTTGAAAGCAACGCCTGAGCCTAGTGGACCAGACCTAGAGCCTGGAGCCTGCGGCTTAAAGCCCCTTCATCGGCAAGCGGTATTCGGGTTACTATGGGTTACTGGTTGCTTGCCCGGATATGAGAATCAGCTCAGGTAGCCATGGGTACGGTGATGGAGGAGCGCGTGAAGGCAATGCTCGGGCCGTCCCTGAAGCCGAGTTCCCAAAGGACAAAACAGGCAAAGGCAAAACACCGCTTTGGCATCGGCCGAGGCCCGAGATGAAGACGATGATGCAAGAGCTGGGCGAGAACTTCAAATTCCCGGAGTGGAAGCCTGGATCTCAGCAGGGAATTCTCAGCCGCGCACCCGCTAGCACTGTGTTCATGTACTCTGACCGTGCTCAAGGTACAGGATGAACAAGCTGGACTCTTGCAGCAGTGAGGCAGGCTTCCACGCAAGGCAATTCCAGGCATGTCTGGTCGTCACGCTGGCTGGCCAGGAAGCTTCCATGTTCGGCGGTGGCGCGGCCTTTGCGTGACCCTGGCGATGCTTGCGTTTGCGCCGAAGAGAAGGCGTCAGATCTCTGAGCCAGGCCTGGTGGCCAGAGCCAGGGGCAGGCCGGCCCCGGCACGGGCGGATGTAGGTGTGTGTTCGGCACGCGCATCGTGGTATCGCTCGCGCCTCGCACTTTTTGACAAGTGGCAATGGCAGGCGTCTCTGGCGGGAACGATCCCGAAGCAGTCTCTACTTCACGAGCTGGTGCGCTCGTGAGATGTCCACGCTTGTGGTGCTGAAATTCCGGCTGGTTGCGCGAGCAAGTTCTTGCGATGGGCTCCCTAAAGCGCCAGCAAGCTTCCCTCTCAAGCAGGTGTAACACTCTTATGTTCCCGGCTGCATGGAGGTCGGCATCGACAGAATGGAGAAGGTGGTCAAGCAGTTGGACAAAGGCCAATGGTTGCGGCAATCTCATGTCGCAAGGTGTGGTAAGGAGTAAGGAGTCGGCATCTCTTGATGTTGTTCGCTGAAGCGGATCTGGGTGCCAGGCACAGACATCAACGTGCTTGACTGCATGGGCTCTTACCTGAGACGTCGAGCCATGTCGACGAGCGATTAGTTATGCGGCTCAGAGGTGTGCGATGTTCTGCTGTCAAGGCGAGACACCCCTCTTCTGGGCTGTCTCTGCAGAGGTTGGTAAGTACTCGCTGTTGCCCAGGCTGTATTTTCATGCTCTGAGGCAGTGGAGTATTTGGTGAGAGAGGGGGCGGACATTCAGCATCGGAACTCGCAGCTCAGCTATGATCTAGACGTGAGTTTGTGTCATGGTTCGTCGTTGTCCTTGTTCGTCATGCAACAGTATACCTAACAAGGATAAACGAGACGGAACACGCAGGACCAGTGCCCAACATTGACAGGCAACCAGATCCGTGACAATGTGACCGTGGAAGTTTTGTTGTGTTATTTCTTGCGCGGTACTTCCTAAGCGGGCTTTCAAGTGACTCCTTCTGCTCGCGATCCGAGTTCACCCAGTGATCCCCCTTTGCGTCCCCTCCAGAGCGACCTTCGCTCCGCCACGCATGGAGGAACTAAGCGTGGCCTGCTTGCCTAATGTTCCAGAGCATGTCTGTCCTCTTTATGTGCAGGACGTTCAGGTCGTTTAGGTTTGTGTTAGCGGCGCAACAAAGTGGTCTGCATGTTTGCGAGCTTCATGCGATGGGTGTCGGGTCCTATCGAGGGTCTGCCAGTGCTCGGCCTTCTACAAGTTCGCCTGCCAGGCAAGGGTGTAGTTTTCCCGCGATTTCTGAGTGTCAGCCGGCAAGCGACAGGGGAGCCACAAGCCGCTGAAGGCGCTAGCGCTGCATCTGCGGAAGGCACCCAACAATCCAGACGCATGCTGAGCATGGGTTCTGAGTTCGTGCGTCTCGCTCAAGTTATTCAATCGCACAGAAGCTTGCTCATACTGACTTATACCGCACATCACGGAGTCTCACCACCACCGCAAGCTGAACGAGGGATCAACGTGTATCAAGTCCACTTTCAGGATTCCTCATGACTACCTGTCGAGGGCATTGGAGGGCCTGTCGTACTTGAGCTGCAGGCTGGTGTGTTGGAGAAGTACTTGGACGTCAGCACCTCATGGAGGGTCGCCGAAGAGTGGAAGAGTGTGTCCACTTACTGGTCGCATCTGGTACTAGTGCCTCCGAAGCAGCATCTGTGTGTGTATCGTATAGCTACGCATGTCCAGAAATCTCGATCAGGAGCCAGCTTCCGTCACGAAGAGAACGCCTTTGCATGCTGCAGCTCACAACGGCTTTCTGCAGACGGCGCGCAACGATTTGATGCAGATTTGTTCGCCAATGTGATCGCAGCACATGTTGCAAGTGGCCTGGGCAGGTGAAGGAGCTTCTGTCCATGGGTGCGGACCGTGATGCCCAGGTGCGAATGTAGCAAGGCTTTGCTGCCTCGTCACTAAAGCTGACTCTGTAGCTGCAGCTCAGGACTACTTGGGAAAGACGCCGCTAGACCTGGCGCGGGATCGTGGCTTCAGCGAGGCTGCACCTGCCGGGCATGGAGTTGCTTTGGCATTGCTCGGATGTTTCGTCACTTCCGTCCTGCTTGATGCATTCAGGTCGTGACCTTACTTGAGTAGTATCTGCATATCCGTGAAGTATGTATCTCTTCGGCCTCTGATGCAGCCAAGCACGCGAGCTTGTTCGATGTTGCAGAAAGAGCGTCCTAGTGCATGCTCGTGAGAGCTTTGCAAGACTGGCAAGCCAGGGCAAGCCTATAGGCCTGAGTCACTCTCGTCGGCGGGGTTGTTTTGGCGACCAAGCGGGCTGACGGACATCATGGCTCTCAGGAAAGATCACACAGGCCCGTCCCTGCACAGGCCTTCAGATTCAGACAATGCGTGGACCATGGAGCCCCACCTTGGCAGAGCATAGACCCTCTGCCCTCTGCCCCAGCTCCATGGCCTTGCTGAGCCGTGTTGGACAGGCCGGGCAGTATAATGTTTGCCGGAATCTACGGGTCGCAGCTAGACGCAGACAGGAACAAAGCCGCCAAAGCAAAGAGATTCAACTTGCTGGCCCCGGGTGCAATGAGTCGAGGTTCAAACTGTTCCCTTGTGTAATGACCCTGCATGATGTGCTTCAAGGGTCGCATGACGTGGCGACAACTTGCAATCTCGTGTTGTGCACTCTGAACTTACATCTCTTGCCCTCAGACTTAGCAGCCAGACACTTCTCATCCTCCAACACCGCCAGCGTTTGTGCAAGCACGAACCAGGCATGCAGCTTCTTCGCACGCTCAAGCCGCAGCTTTGCAAGCATTGTGCTCAGAAGTGCACCTCTTTGTGTGTCTCGGCACCTCTGCATAAATTCAGATTGCAACGACCGCTGTTACTGTTTGCTCCAGGATTCTGAATTCAATTCGAGCTCTGGCTGCGTAGGTGTCCAATGTGCATGAAAGCCAACCACTGCCCTCAGGATGACGCTGATGCTTCTCCACATCCTGTAGCATAACTTCGCAAGTGTTCGGTGGTCTGTGTAGGACACGTACCAAACACTGACCATGGCATCAAATGGTGACGGGAACTAATCATGAGACGACCATAGGATTAACAGCATCATGCCACAAGTGTGATCTGCAAGCTTTTTGACGCTCGCCGGCCATCTTTGTCGCCTGGCCTCATGCAGCCTTGGCTTTTTCCAGGCCTCTCGGTGAGTGTTTCATTACAAGCAAGGATTCCAGCAGATTGTCAGGCCTCAGCTTTTGTGTGTGCCTGCTGCATGTTGCTTGGTCTGCACTGGTAAAGTCGGGGTTTCAGTCCGCAACAGCAGCGCATTGAATGAGACTTGACCTCAACCCTGGAGCGGCCGAGACAGACTTTGACTTGCAAAGGTCCTGGGCGAGACTCACCGAGAGTATGTTGATGATAGCTGGAGCAGCAGCTTCTATCAACCCCACGATGTGCAGGCGCAGGGTTCAGCACGCCTTTCGCATGTTCTTGTTGCTGCACAGCGTCAGCCCCATGAGCCGAAGCCGATGGATGATCGTCATGGTCATTTCGAAAGCTCTCAACTCTAAACCTTTTCCATGCTACTTTCGCCTAGCAGGTCAACCATATAGGGATGGTCAATGTGTTGTCCTCAGCTTGGGGGCCTTGCAAATTGCCGCAATGGGGATGACGCTGCATCACTCTGCAATCTGAGGCACAGGCGGTGTACTTTGCGACAAAGACAGGTGTGTCAATGCTGCATGATGGACTGCTCACGCCTGCTGTGGAAAGGCATGACTCCGCCGCTCACACGGTTTAGGGGATGGGGGCTCTTGACCAGGCTGCTATCGCAGCCGCAGTGGTACTGCAAAGCCCAGGAGCTGGTGGCCTTCCATATGTGCCACCACCGCAGCAGCCTGTTCTACGAGGTGCTATCAAAGGATGGTGGGGTACTCACCATCTATGAGTACAGCCTGTTGGCCAAAGAGTCTGTCAAGGCACGCTGGAGTCCAAAGCAGTTCAGACTGGCAAAGTGCCAAGCTGCCGACTGTGACTCAAGCGAAAGGTGGCGATCTTCCAAGAGACGGTGCCTGCCAAGTCCCTTTGCTGCGTGGACAATCTGCTGCTCCGCGCCTCGCGTGCCAGCCCGACGCCAGGATTGTCTGCGCCGGATCTGAAACTGCCAACAAAGCCACCGCTCTGTTCCCGCCCAGGCCTTCTAGCCGTGAGCCTCTCATCGGGTGCTCTCGGGGTTCCTTGGCAGGTGGCAATTCGAGGAGCATTTGTGCATCGCGTCCCGCATGCAGTCGAGACATGATGAGTACCTAGGCGTCGAGCATTCTGCAGAAGTTCAAGGCCCAGCAATGCCGTTCAAGCACTGTCTTGCCTTGGTCGTATATCATGACTCTTATGTTCGACTTAGAGTCATCGGGTTGAGACCTGTGAACTCGAGAAATGCTGCATTTGGTGGAGGACGAGCAGGATGTGCTGGGCTCTCTGGCAGCGGCCTTTGCTGCAGACATCGTCCAGCACGCCCAAGTCTATGCAGTTGTGCCCAGGCAGGTGGCTGATGTCATGCCGTGCATGTGGTGACACAGCATTTGTGGCTTTCTCACAAGCGGGGCAATCGGAGGAATCGGAGCGTGGTGAAGCTCCATCTTCAAGAAGACACGCACGGTGTCTTGCACCTGACTGCCGTTGACGACGTCTTGATACCAGGCGCACAAACACGAGGATCCCCATTTTGTTCAGAAGCAAGTGAATGCGGCCTTATTCATCGGATTCGCCATTCTATCAGCGGCATGGTGTCTTGTCACACGACGACTCGTCACGCAACCACTCATGAGCTTGTACAGGTGAAGGAGCAGATGGTCCAACAGAGACAGCCTCTGTGGTGCAGCCCCACCATGTGCTGATCTCAGCCATTGAGCTGTTTACGGCAACTTCTAGTCACCGTCCTCATGAGATGGAGCCGGGCCAATTTTTCCAACTTGTCAGAATAGACGTAACATTGCTTCTGGCGATCACTCCAAGGGTTGAGGTTGACGTTTTTCTTGCTTGCCTGGGCTTCGCACATGGCCCTCTTTCGCAAACGAGGTGGCGTGGCTGCATGGCAAGCTCCTAATAGTGGATGGCTGCTCCTTGCGCCAGGCCGGATCCTGTTGAGGATTGCATGGACGGCAATAAGGTCCACTCTGTTTCAGAGCATCCGATGGCAGGTGGAAGAGGGCCGAGTGAAGACATTGCTCGGATCGCCTGTTGAATGTGCGGAACCACCGAACGCAACTTGTTCGAGATGTTGGATTGCATGCAATCTTCCGTCCTCATTTTTCTTGCCGTTGTCCGTCTAAGATGCTACAGCACTGGTCGTACTAGTTAGTGCCGCTTCAAAAGCGCTTTTGCTTCTTTTCGTCAGCCTGGGGACCGGGGCCCACGGGCCAAGGAGACGCTGTCACCAGCCAGCTGGACCTCCAGGATTGCACAGCCTCTTGGTTCTGGCCTGAGCCCGTCGACACACGACATCCTCTTAGTCCTAGAGTGCCCCGTCGGAGGCTTGGCGGTGGAGGCCGAGGCCACAACCGGACATACTGTCCTGGTGCTAACTCGCGGACAGGTCATTCAGGCCAGTCGGTAGCCTGTCTGGCATGTGCGCATGCTCGGAGTGTCTAGGAGTGTGGTTGCAGTGCATCCGGCATCATGCCAGCGATAGAGGTGACACAAGACGATGGCAGCTGCACGGAGTCATCTCACGACACTTGCATCAAGGACGCGTTAAACCGTGTTGACAGGGAAATTGCAAGTCAGGCCAGGTCGAATGCATGGCATTTGTGGTATCGTATGCGCACGCTTTCGTTGAACATGCGCAGCAAAACCTGACGTACACAGAGCAGATCCCGTACGATGCTTTGCAGATTGGATTTTTGTCCTGTTTGGATACTCAGATCTTCTTTTAATCCAAGTTGTAAGTCGCGCACCTGACCAGTTTGCAAAGCTGTGATTCATATCTTCTCACTCTCCTCGCCGTGCTTATGATTCATTGAGGTGCGGCAGTCGCCAGGCGTAGGCTATGAGCCTCTGCGCAGTCCAGCAGCTTTTCTCGGGCCTGCTGCTGTCTGTTCTCGAGCTTCACACGAAGTCACAGCATTTCCAGTGTTTATAGGGTGAAGGTCTGTAAAGTGAGTTGCAGCCTGCTGCGCGGTATCGGTACATTAGATGGGAGGATCTGCGTATCTCTGTGCATCTGATTTGCCTCTTTCCATGTGGCGTCGTTTGCGTCTGTCAAGTGCGCCTGATCTGGAATTTAGAGACGATGGGGGCACAATCGCTGGGAAGCATCCTGCGGCTCCGCCTCACCAGGAGCAATGTGGCTGGGTCGAAGATGATCGGCACAATCGCTGTCTTGGCTGTTCGGAGCTGCATGCCTGGGCCGAAGCTCAGAGGCAGACCGTCCTTTTTTGGGAGGGGCCGTGATGTATGATTAGGCTGCATGTCGCATCGGAGGCCGCCGCTGGATCCATGCCTCTTGCAGAGCAGCGCGATAGGAGGCGCAGGCCGCGCGGACAGCGTGCGCTACGACCTCAGCGCCTGCGGCTGTGCTGTGCCCACCACAACGCCGGCTCCGGAAGAGGAGTTCGATCGTGAGTGGGATTATGGCAGGGTTTCGATCTGGCCTTCTCACGCGTTCCCCCCAGGTTGTTTCCTCGGGAGAGCGATGCAAGGTTTGATGACGGAGAACTAAATATGCCCGGCTGGTATGTACCCTGCAGTTACTTGCAGAGTTACTTGGTAGAAGTACAAGTTTAAGCGCACGCTTATCCCACCTTCGAAGGACATTGGCTTAGCCGGCTTCATGCGCGTGCTGCTCGTGCTTGGCATTGCTGCTGGGGCCACTAGGTTTCCATCAGTCTGCATGACTCGATGCGACACTACAGAGTTGTGGCAGTTGCCGTCCCCGCATGCCTGGTTTCCGAACCCTTTGCCTTCCTGTGGGGGTCGTGGGTTTTCCGGCTCTTTGTGCATGCAGTCCAGTGTTCTGAGGTATTGTTCTACTGCTGGCGAGAGCGACAGCGACGGCGGTTTCAGCAGGACATGTATGGAATGACTTCTGACACCGTTCAGTTTCACACTTTCAATGATCAAGAAAACGATGTCTACGTGCGCTACGACAGTTGCGACACATTTTCATAGCACACGTCTGTCAATTGGCTGGCGGTTGTTGACTGGCCGTTGGCTTCCTTGTACAAATCGTATTCAGTCGAGCTGATGAGAGAGGATTTGCGAAGTTTCAGCTTTTGGCAACTGCCCTCCTGCCGTCAGATCTGGGAACTAGACGGGTTCTTTGACAGATGCTCCCCCTTTACGGTAAGGAGGAGGACAGGGGAACTGGGACCAAAAACAGGTGTGTTCCCGGCTTCAGTGCCAACGGCTTCGCACTCCTCGCAAAGATAGCCTACAAGTTCTTGGTACCGCATCTCGTTTGGGTTCCACCAAAGGTTTGTGGCTTGGTCCACTAGGAGATCAGCTCGGCTTTGGTCTCCGTGTGCTTGGGGAAGTCGCGGCTCCCTGCAGCGCAGGAAGCTCAGGTGTGGTGGAAAATGATCCTCGGAATCCTGGGCCTGGGTATCCCGTTGTATGTTGTGTTTTCTTACAGTCTTACAGGATCTACAAGTAGGAATGTCCAGGACGGTCGCTCTGTGCAGGTTCCAGCTATGGCCTCGAGGTGCAGAAGGCGGCTCAGGCCGCTGCAATAGAAGGCTTCTGCTCATTGCCGGTACAGCTGGGCAGGGCTGGGCTCGGATGTCCGTCCTGTCAAACATGGAGGCGAGTGTGCGGCACATATCAGTCCGAAATGATGCTGCCAATCGGACAGAGGAGTGTTGCCAGGTGACATGTCCAACCGTGACCCAACCTGCGCATCCTCTGCCTGAGAGCCCGATGGCCCAGCCTGGGCATTGCTGATTCGACTTGGTCCGAGGTTGTCGAGTCGCTCTGTTCCCGTCTCCTTGCAGGTTGGAAGCTCTTGACGTCGGATCGACAGCTCTCGGTGCAGCTGCCTTCGCATCCCGCGCGAGAGACCTGACCGAGTCGACTAAACTCAGAGTTTTGAAGCTCGCCTGAAACTCAGGCAGGGCCAGGGCCAGGGCGGGCCAGAGCTTTGGGCCATGAACAAGACAAATCGCACCGCCCTCGGTTTGCAGGAGATTTCACCTGTAGGGTCTCACAGTCCCGCTCGCCAGATCGCATGCCAGGCTTGGCACGAAGGAAGAAGCGGAAGAGGCCCAAACAAGTCGAGCACACGAGCTGATTGATGTCGGGCACTTTGCTCAGGCAGGTATACCACTAGCTCCCCTAAGCTGAAGATGAGACATCCAGGCAGATGAGATGACAACAGAAATGTTTTGGCCAGAAGTGCTACTGTCTATGACAGATTGATGATGACAATCATGTAATTGTTGAGGCGATGCGTGGAATCGATAATGCTGCAATGAGAGAGCCCAGTCTTGCAAGAACATCGCTCGGTGCAGCTTGGAAACTCGTGTGGGAAATGACATCGATGCCATGTTTAAGCAAGCTGCCAGGATAGAATGCCTGTGCAAAGCTGAGAGCGGCCGCTGGGTCTGACTGGATGGGCCTTTCCCAACAAGACGGTTCGAAGCCAAGAGCTCCCACTGCAACAACACGAAGACACGTGCGTTGAGCAGTTCTGATCCCCCCCAACCACTCCACAACGATCACGCCACAATGTGTTTAATATGGGGCTTGTCTTCAACAGTCCTTCGTGCGCATCAGCAGAATGTATAACAGCAGGGCAAGTACGCCCTCTGTCGTTCCGGTGCTTGTTCTGTTTTTGGACGACATGCGTGCCAGCAGCGGTCCCATGCGCCTGAACAAATCCAGTTCGATCCGAGTGCGAGAACGGCCACTATGCTTCTATTGCCTGGCAGAGTCAGCCTGAGTGTCACTTTGCGCAGGATGGGCGAGCGCATCAGTTTAAGGATGCGGTGAATCCCTGGAGTTCTCTGAGTCTTTGACAGGCTCAGGTCAATCAGTGGGCAACAGCTGGGCATGCAAAGTGTGTCACATTATTGACACTCTTGTCCAACTGAATGTCGGTCTCACCCACACACGCTAGCACAGAGGAAAAGAGGTGGCAAAGTCGCAGCTCCAAGGCTGACTGACGGGTGCGATTGTCGAAGTGTGGGATTCGGAAGCGTCGGCCAATCTGCTTTGCTTCTGTCAGATGTCTAGTTGCGCCATCCCAACTTCTGAACACTGAGACTTCCTAAGTTTGATGTGTTCACAGTGAAATCTTGACTTGAGATGGCATCCGTCTGCCCCCGACCCCGCTGCTTCTTTCAGACGCAGCGACGCAGATTAGGATTCGGACTTGCATTTTTTCCATCCTGGCTTTCATCATGCTGAGCATGCGAAGAGGCCTGCTGCTGTTGTCGCCCAGGCCAAGCAACATTTACCACCAAACAGAGACAGGCCGTTCCCGCAGCTGGCTGCCTATTCCCGTTGCCCTGGCTGTGGTGGCCGTGCGCGGAAGCCTAGAACGGCTCGCAATGAGATTCTCGCAACACTGAGCCGCTGCAAGCTCCTTGGGCTTGCCATGATCTGCACGAGGTTCGCGCAGCTTGGAGCAACCTTCGTCGGCGCGCTCCGACCTCAGTTTGAGCCAGCAAGGACGTCAGTGTGCAGAGCACGAAGACAGCACGGAGCAGGGACGTGCGGCGGACTTTAGGCGACTGCCATCCAGGGCCGTGCCCAAGCCACCAACAGTGGCTCGGCTTTTTGGTATGGCCTCCTGGCGCTTAGCGTCGGCTCTTGCAGAGCTTTGCATGCAGTTTGCAGTGCTGCTAAGGTTCGCCTGGCTGGCGAGAACCTCTTCGAGCGATTCGCTCGAGTTGCTAAGGCAAATGTGAACAAGGCCTCTGTTCCCCTGCAGCTCATCTCTGCAGAATTGGCAGTCAGGAGACATGCCATCTGCGCTTTGCCGGCCTTCAGCAATTTTGTCTGGCTCCTTCCGAGTCCTTCCCCACAAACCATCTCGCGCCATGTCCTTGGTCGAACTCTTGGGCAGCTCGTTGCTGGCGAAAGGCTGTGAGAAGGACACATCCGAGGCGCACTTGGCTGACTGGTGTCGGACAGTGCTTTCCACCTACGATGCAGGCCTTGAAGAATGCCAAGGCTGTGGCACTGCACTTGAGCATTGTTAAGTGGGCACTCAGCTGATGTTGACAGTGCCTTGCCGTCTGTGACTTCCTTATCCCAGGTACTTCAGCGCCCACTGGTGCCCTCCGTGCCGCGGCTTTACACCAAAGCTGGCAGAGTGGTACAAGAAGGACCCTGCACACGTCCTGCATGCTGCCATTGAGCCCTTCACTTCCTGGGTGCTCTGTGAGGATTTGCAAGCCAAAGGCTTGGAGGTCGTCTTCGTCTCCGCCGATCGATCCGAAGAAGAGTTCAAGGAGTACTTCGCGGAAATGCCTTGGCTAGCCCTGGACTTCTCCCAGAAGGCCGCGAGTCGCGAGAGTCCCGAAACCTTGGATTTGCAACTCCGGCCATACTGAAAGGAGGTCAGCCAGAAGCTCAACAAGAAATTCAAGGCGCAGACGTTTTGCCCAGTACCATAGCCACTGCTTTATCTGTAAATGTCGACTCTTGAGGTTAATGGCATTCCAATGCTGGTTATTGTGGATCCGAGTGGCCAGCTGATCACGGCTGATGGCCGTGAAGCTATCGCAATGGATCCGGAGGGGAAGAACTTTCCCTGGAAGCTTGTTGGAATCAGCCGCAACGCCTAATGCATGTTTCGCAGACTGCTGTGTGCCATTGGGAATTTTCTGGTTTAGGGAGTCGCAGTTCAGTGTCAGTGAAGTCGAGAGGGCTCAACGTCTTGCTTAACAACCCCGCAAGGCAAGTGTCCAGGCACGTTTGGCCATCGATCGGACTCGCTAGTCCAACTGTCCAGCTGGTCTTTAGAGCACTTGTCATTCCATCAGAATCGGGACTCTGCGGAGGGGTTTAAGGTTTTCCCAGCTTCAAGGATTCCGCCGAAGCCAGCTGATCTCCTCCAAAAGATGAAGTTGAAGAGCGCATCCCATGCAGCTGATGGTGTGGGTCACATGTCCGTGAGCGAGGCAGCAGAGTCATGGGATGTGCCTGCACTGATAGTGATATCTGATATATCGTCTTGCCTGAAAGGCTATGCAAGGAAAGAAGGCACTCGCATTGTCGCTCGGCCCGTCTTGGCAAACCTGTCGTTGCTTCGGTAGCTCCCCATTCTAGCCATCTGAAGCTCCTTTATGCATTTTGGCTGTTGTGCGGTGTGCAGAAGTCCAGCATCCAGTTTTGAATATTCTGACCTTGTCAGTAAGTGTTCCACCACTACCCACCCCGTCAATCATGACTCGAAGACTTCCCGGCTGCTTCTTGTGGTGGTGGTGGTGGTGGTGATGGTAGTCACATCAGACCTGGTAGCAGTGCCAGTACTTATAGTACACTGTACCACTACTATGCTGCCACCAACAGCTCACATGAACTCTCACTTGCTCTTCCTCCCGCATGGTCAGTCGCTGTCAGTTGCTGCCCGCTACCAAGTCTTCTTGCCTAATTGGTTTCACTCAATTCGCAATCATTCGACACTACAAGGCCGGCCAGTTCCGGCCAGTGGTTTGTGCTCGGGATTAGGATGTCCGAAGCCGCTTTCACTGGCTGAGTGTTCATGGTTTTCATCCGAGGTATTTCAGCGCTCATTGGTGTCCGCCATGTCGTGGGTTCACTCCGAACCTCGCCGAGTGGTACAAGAAGGAGACCGGACGAATCCGTCTGCCTGCATAGCCTGCTCGGACCTGCTTGAGGACCTCAGTGCCAAAGGCTTGGAGGTCGTCTTCGTGTCCTCGGACAGAGACCAGAGCCAGTTCGATGAGTACTTCAAGGAGATGCCTTGGCTGGCCCTGGACTTTGCCGACAGGGACCTGAAGGCAGGGGCCGGCGGGTCCCGAAGCCCGAACGAGGGACAGGGGAGCGCAGCGAAACCGCGGAAACTTCCGAGGAGCAGCTGTCGCAAACTTTCAAAGTGGATGGCATCCCAAGCCTTGTCTCTCGGCCGCATCGCAGTCGCAGACTATGTGCGTCGCGTCGGGGAAGGCTCGCTCCGCCAAATTCAGGCACTGAGTGGTGAGTCCAGGATGCTCAAACTCAAAACCAGGAGCTGCGTCCCGCTGCTTCCGCCTTTTGCAATGACCGCAAAGGCTGCTCCGCATCTGCCCCCCTCTCGATGCCTTTTGTGCTACTCGTAGACTTGTCTGCTGCTTTCTTCCATTCGTTTACTCCCGCTGCGGGCACACCTGTGGTGCATGTTGCAAACAAGTTCGTGTTGTTACGACGATCGAAGTCTCGGGTACGGATGCAACCGAAGCGACAGAGTACCTCTACTAAGCCCACCTGCAGTAGGCGCGCTTCCTCACCACAGAAGCAGGTACAAGTGCGGCAGAGACGGCTTTCGAAACAGATAGTTGGACTCGGCTTCGCAGCCATTCGATGAAAACTTCTGAGGTGGTGCTGGATGCGAACTTGGAGGTCGTGACGCTCAAAGGGCGCGGAGCAGTGTCTGAAGACCCTGAGGGCCACAGTCTGCCGTGGTACCCCAAACCTGCCCTTCGGACTGCGCTTGCGCACATTTGTTCTGGTCGATGCTTGTCAGCTGCTTGTCTCGAGCTCGTGGCAGCTCAAGGGATCTCTTCTGAAGGTGCAGAACCTGGCAGCTGGTCCTGGTGACATTGAGGACGTGCCGACTGTGGTGGTGGCTACAGCAGCAATTGGTAGCATCAGGTGAATCCAGGAGAGCAACTCGTAAGATGGACACTGCAAGGCAGAGCTCATGGGCCCTCAGTACCCGGACCAGATTTTCCCTCAAGTTTAGACGACAGGTGAATTTTAAGTTTCCTTCGTGACGAGAGCGTCAGGTTTTCTGCGAATCCAGCGGCAAATCGGAGCAGCAAGAGGTCGAGGACGCGCTCACGGCCGTGTCTTCAAAATTCATTGAGCATCAGAAGGCTGCCGGGAGCACGGGGCTCTTCTGGTGTTGTCGCAGGTCATTGTGCATGAATGTTGCAGGCTGCAAAGGAACTGGCACCTGAAGTGGCTTTCATGATCGCGACGAAGGACTCTGAACTGACAGGTCATCTTCGCAGCCTACTGAGTTACATGGCAGATTGGACTTGACATATCGTGTCCTGACCTCTCAGCGGGACCCACCACTGGTACATGCTCTGCACATTGGAGAGCGCCCAGGGAACGACAGCAGAAGGAATCATGGCAATGTATGATGGTGAAGTAATTTAGCCGCTAGCGCGCGAGCCACCGTGGAGCCGTTTCCGAGTTCCTTATGTGCGCCGGCAGCCGGCTATGCAGACTCCAGACAAATAGAATTGTCCAAGGCCGGCGGGAGCGGAGTCCGGGGAAGGAGGGGGGAAAAGGATAGCAGAGAAGCAGGGAGGGGGCAGGCGTTGCAGACGGAGGGAAAGGGGAGGGAACCCAGCAAAGAAGCGAATAAGGGTTCGCATGGGGGAAGCGCAAAAAACATGCAAAAAGCAAAAACCACGTCCAAAGCAAAGGACCCGAGCCCAAAATCCTGGACAGACCAGCAACAAAGCCGTCAACATGACAGGTCCCCCTACCTACCGCCGCAAATAGAGGAGGGGTTTGGGTTGAATGGATTACATGGTTCCATGGAAGCCGATCTGACCGCCCCGGCCTCCGGAATCGTCGGAAATCGCCCACCAATATGTACCCAAGACCTACAAGATTACAGTGCGCCCGCCGCAGACATTGAGCTGCTGGGCAGTTGCTAAGGCTTGCCGAACGGTGATGCTGGCAAGCCGTCTATGTCCATGGTGCTGATAGACATCCCCAGTGATGGCACCTCGACAGCCACGGCAGTTCGAGAGTCTTCTGCGTTTGGAAACAGCACCCTTTTCCAGTTCCAATCCGACAACTGACGGTAGGAGCATACTTCGTCGCGGAAGCTGCACCAATCACGGTGGAATCCATCCAGGGATTCGTGGACGCTTGGAAGTCAGGCCGTGTTCCTTATCATTATCATGTTACGATGCCCATGACATGTCTCAGGGGAGTGCACTGGAGCCTGGGCACTGCCTCTGAAGGGAGAACGCAGCCCGAGAAGGTAGACTTGAGTCGAAAAGGAAACTGAAACGGGACAGGGAATCTGGAAGGTTGGAGGGGCTGCGACAACTCTCAATGTGTCTACCGGTCTACCGGCGACTGTTGCAGCTGGGGGAAGACAAACAAACGAACGCAAGGGCACACTTAGGTCGCGACAGCTTAGCAAGTTCAGGCATCCGCGCTGTTAAGATGCGTCGGTCTGGATCTTCTTGACTTGGCGTGATACGTGAGGAGTGCACATCAGCATTCGGGGCGGACCCGAGATTCCTCCTGCATGAAACATGTGGTCGCTTTCACGATGCGTATAAAGGGATTGCTGTTGTTTCGCCTTTCACGAATGCACTGCAAGATTCCTTGCTACTGTCGCCCAGCGTGCTGCAGGCCAGCTTGAGAGGAAGCAGCTCGGATGAGACCTGCATCCATTTCGACATATTTGTGGATGCGCAATTCGTGTCAATGTCGTCCGTCATCTGACCACACTGTGCAGTGTGTGCGCTTCAGATTTCGTTGTGAAAATTCCGAAGTCTACAAATTATTTTGTACAAGCTTGTGCGCAAGCTGGGCCGGCATACGAGTAGCAGCCCAGCAAGCGCACAGATCCAGGACCTTGCGGTGTTGCACCGCATCGCGTTGTACAGAGCGCGCATAGAGGTCAGCATCTCTCAGAGTGTCGTGTCACAAGGTTTGGACATTTTGTGCCCATGCTTATGCACGACTCTTGAGTTGCACCGGCTGGATCTCGCTCAGACTTGGCAGTAGAAATTTCGAACCTTTGGACTGAGCTGGATGACGAGTGCGGTCCAAAGCCGTCAGCCTAGCAGAGCCTGCAAGCGGGTCAGGTTCTTCAGGGCTTGGAAGATCCGGAGAAGGTCCTCGATCAGGCCGCGGGAACAGTTTGTCCTATAAGGATAAGTTGGCAGTTCTCGCGCTGTAGATACACACTTGCTTCGCAGCGCGTGCTGTATCGTACGACACGGCACGGTGCAAGCATGTGCACGCTGTACGTGTTTCGTCATAAGCCCAGCCGGAGCAGCAAGTTCAGATGTTGAGACTGTTGAGAGGGGTGGTTCTTGGATTTGAATATGGGAAATGAGAGACTGGAAGGCGTCCAGTGTTCATTGCATGATCTGTTCGAATGGGGACCCTGCAAATCTGCGATTTGCGAGGCCTTAGATGAGATGCAGGCGCGTGAGAGCATGGACAGTTGAAGTGGAGACTGCGGTGCTCTCTCTGCAGGGCGACCTCATCAAAGTGAGGCAGTCTTACGCCGAGGTCGTTCCATCACATTTAGCGGGCCCCGATTGCCGCAGCTTTCGGCAGCTTACTTTTTGTGCGAGGTGCTGGCGACGCAGAGAAGACTGCAGACCCAGAAGGTCTGCCTTGTGGGCAGCTTCTCCGGCTGTGAAGTCTTCGGCCATCGCAGGAGCAAGCTGACAAGATGGCCGAAGACTGGTACAAGCGGGCGGAGATGGCAGTGGCAACCTGAGTGGAAGGCCTAAGGCACAACAGCAAAAGGTCCAGGTTGCTGTGTCTAACTCCAAGGTCGAGAAGGGCGATGACGAGCTTGCGAAGGAAGCCCTTACCCGAAGACAGACCTCCGTAACCAAGGCTTGGGAGCCAAGGCTGTCTTTGGGCTTAGCCGCTTAGCCTTGCTGTTCACTGAGAGGCCAACGACTTGGGGGCCCAGATCGATGCCATGACAGGGACGGGGCCTCAAACCTCCTCGGAAGTGCGAGACCAGCCTTCGAGCCTTTGCCGAGCTCCTGAGCGATCCGAGCAGAGCAGGAACGTGGAGAAGCTCTTCGAGTCCGTCAAGGCCTTGGAGGCCGCACGGGGTGCACACCAGTGCAGTCTGCTTTGTCGCTTGCTTTTTCTGGTAGATCCTCTGCCTTTCTACAGAGTCGTCTCCCTTTTCTCCGAAGTGCAGGCGAAGATCACTCAGGCCAAGGAGGTGAGGGGGATGAGTTTTCTCAGGCTCAGCTTTCGGCTCTGAAGGGCCCAGTGGAGCCAGGAGAAGGAGCAGCTCATCGCACGTGCACGCACGGCCAAGACGACTGCTCAGGTAAGCTCAGCATTTCTGGAGTTGACGGAGCAGCTTTTCTGCGACAAGATGCGCTGCCTGCAGGTCAACGAGATGCTCTCCGATGTAACCAGCGTTGGTTCTACTGGGGCGTTTGACCGCATGAAGGAGAAGGCGATGCTCCCGTTGGAACTGCGATGATCGGAGGGGGCTTCTTCTTGCTCTGCGGCTCAGGTCGAGATGCTGGAAACCCGTGCAGAGGCACTTAGACTTTGTTGTCAGCCTGTCAGCACTTGAGCACGCGAGCTTCCGGTTGTCTTCGAACATCTCCAATCGTCTTCGAGGACGGGTTCCAACTACTACATGTAGTCACGGGGTGCACAGTGCGGCGGCTTTGGCTCGAGAGCCGTCGACTCCTTCGCCACACGCCCCGTGTCGAAGATCTTGATCGGCGTGAAACTCGCCTGCGACTCACCCTCCGCTTTCCGGCACGACTTGACTTCGACCAACCTGCGTGAAGAGCGCCGACCGCGAGCGGGGTGCTTGTGATGCTGGTACTCCTTTTTCATCTTGTGGACATCCGATCAGGTCTGTCTGGCAAAGAACATCGGCCCGCAAATTTACTCGTCCTCGAAGGATCAATCTACATACGACATGCAGAACTTGACGTTGTAAGTTCGGCACAGAACTCGGCAAAACAGGACCCGGACTTTTCGATCGTATAACAGTCTTGACCAGTGACTAGTGGCGGTTGTCCTGGCCCGGCGCTATAGTCCATTCTTCAGCAGCCCGCAGTTATATGTAAAGGTTCATATGCATGTGCACAGTGTCAATTTTGTGTATGTAGCTGCATACATTCGTGCGTGAGGATGCAGCATGTATATGTCATATGTACTTGAGTATTTGAGCTGTTCGCGTATGTATGTGTTATACACATATATATATATATATATATATGTATATGTATGTGTGTGTGTGTGTGCATGCCAAGAAATGCCTGCATGCAGGTCTCGCAGGGGCTGCTGCCAGAGGCGCAGGCGAGCGGCAGCCTTGAGGAGCGCTGGTATGGTGACTCTGTCGAGCAGTAGGTCCTCTGCTGAGATAGGCCCTAGGCGCTGGGCTGCGGGAGGAAGTTGCATAAGAGGCTAAGACACTTCTGAGTGCAGCCTGGGCCATCGCTTGAAAGGACCGCTTCAAGCAGTGCCTTGGCATGCATCGAGACTTTGCGTTGAAGCTGTCCAGTCGCCTTCTGGTGCATGGCCATGCTGGGAGGCTGGAAGCGGGTAGTGCGGTTGATGACGAGCTCGCCAAGATGAAGGGCAAGAAGGATGCCGTGAGTCTCAAGTGTCTTCGAGTCTTCTCGGTCTCAACGAGTGAACTTTCCAAGCTTGGTTCAGGCCTTGACTGAGAACAGCGCCATCGATGACGAGCTTGCAGCCATGCGAAAGAAGCTGCAGGACACACTTGGCGAAGTCAAGGGGCACCCTTGCAGACAGTCGTGAGGCATGTGCCAGTGCCAACAGGCAGCCTGCCACTGCCATACAAGAAAAGATCTAGTACAGTCGTCTTGTCTTTTCGTGGGACGGAAAGCTTGCGGCCAAAGCAAACGAGATGTTCCTCACCTTGGGCGATTCTGGCAGGTTATGGCCTTTGGGATCCTAAACAAGTGCACAGGTCCGTCAAACGGTGTTATGTTCAGTATGTCATTCCATTTTCTGCGTTTATGGTTTCGGGGCCTTCCATGCGATTCCAAGCGACGCCTGCACGACGGTTGACCGATGCTTTTTCCTTTTGCACGAGTGTTTGCAACTATACCTGCGCGATGGATTGCTCGATTCTCTGGCAACTAGTCCTTCAGCACTTCCCAGACCAATTTGGGCAGCTTGAAGACTCTTGCGACAGCTGTGGCACGATTCCCAGCAACACGCTGTTCAAGTCTTGAATTCTGGCTCGTTCCTGTCGTTAACTTTCAGGATTGCGGCTGGCACTTGGGAAGTTCGTTTTTAGCGTTTAACTTTTATTGAAAGAGGACATCAGGAGGGCCACGTTGGATGCAGGTGGTGAAAACTTGAAGTAGACTTGATGTGTCGTGCAGAGAACCCACCACCGCAATGCACAGAAAGTTTGAACAGCAATGTCCGTGTCCGGAAGGGCGCCTCGCTTTGAGGCATTTGACTGAGTTAAGATTGCATCGCAGCCATTCGGTTGAGGTGTGAAGCAACTTGTTGTGTAAGCAACAATCGGAGCATGCAGGGGAGGAGGACATATCACCTTTTGCAGCTAGGGCTCAAAGCCCTAGCAGCTCACTTCATAAAACCCGCCCACCCAACCCGAGAGGAGAGGTGAGGTGAACGAGCCAGCACTTCCAGCTCCTCCAGTGAGTAAGTTGAGGCATGCAGATCGCAGCAAGCGGCATGAACGCCATTCATCGAAAACATCGTCTCGTCCGGGAGGGTGGGCGTTTTCGCATGCGTTGATTGTTGTGTGTTCTAAAGGTCTCAAATGCTCTCGATGCCGGAAAGCCCGTCCCTGGGTGCAACTTGCAGTTCTTCAGAAGTGTTGCCCGAAAGGCGGCAGACGCCGTTGGTGATTTCTGGATTGCAGGGTTGTTGCAGTTTGCCTTTGGAAAAATGAAACAGGCCATCAACCTTACCCTAAGGCATTTCCTAGAGTGTTTTCGCGGAGTTCCCGTGCCCAGCATCTGTGAAGCGAGGAGGAGAAGTAGATCCTGAGCAGCGTCGCGAATTACGAGTTTTGCATGTGTATGTGGTTGGTCTGGCTCCCCTGACTTCGTAGATTCTTTCTGGGAAACTGTCCACAAAGCGTTTGCTGCGGGGGGGCCAAGCATCAGATACAGTTACGTAGCGCCTTTCGTGGTGTGAGCTCATTGCTCGGTTTCACAAGGTAATGATTTAAGGACAGCAAGGCCCAAAGCCACTTAAATCAATTTTCCATGGTTTGCTGCCAGCTGTTTAGCTGCTGGCGGCTTGCGGCTTTGATTGCACAGTGTCCAAGGTCTAGGAGCGTTTGAGTGCGTTTATGGCCAGACTAATAAGATCAATCGCGTTGCACTGCTTAGGCGAGAGTTGATTTTTGAACATCAATGGTTCCATAAGTCGAAGGAAGGTACAGAAAGAGCCAGAGACGAGACGGGATGTTGTCAACGCCGGAAAAGGCAATTCTGGCTATCGTTCCCATGGCATGGGCGAGCTGGCAGGGCATTGGGATGGTGCTAACTTCGTCTTCGACCACTACTCGCAGAGATAGCAGTCCGAAAGAGTTTGTGAGGAGGAATGGGAATTGTGGCCACACTGTGTCAGAACATGGGTCATTTGTTCGATCTAGGAGCGAGCAGCAGCACGTGCAGTGGTTAGGAGGATCTTGCAGAGAGTGTCGTGTTCTCTACTCGTTGCAGAATCGCAGATTCATATGTTCTGTCCGAGCCCTGAGCCGTCCTGCCATGGCCCGCAAACCGTCCTTCATCAGGCAGGGACGGCAGGGATTGGGGATCTCGGGTTCTGTTGCGTCGCACATGACATGACGTGCAGAAGCTCATGCCCGCAGGACGCCAGGCAGGACTTCTCCAGAGGGCCAGGGCTCTCAAAAGGAAAAGGCCCTTGAAGAGGGGGCCCAGTGCCAGGGCAAGGCACAGTTCCGGGGCGCAGGGGTGGCCATCAATCGGACCTTCGAAGCTCGCATGAGGCAGTCTCTTGACTGCAGTCTGAGTTTATTTCCTCTGTGTAGGGCAGCCATCATGTTTTCCACTACTGCTACTACTTCTACTTCTACTACGACGACGACTACTACTACTACTTCCTAGGCTTGATTCTACTTGACCCTCGAACTTTGAACTCAGGCTGCACATCACCGGACAGCGATTTCCCCAGGCTGGGGTTGTTGATCCTGGCCAGACAAGCAGACTCACAGCCGTCACGGCAATCATCGTATGAATACTAGCAGTACCAGCACCAGCACGAAGTTCTGAATGTGATGATAATGTAGTTCTGCCACACAGGCGAAGCCAGCGAATCCGAACGCCTTGAAGAATAGGCCATCGCTGCCCTTGGACGAGCTTCGCCAGCAATGCTCTCAGCCTTACTTGGACTGCATGGTTTGAGAGCGCTGAGGAATCACAGATTCCAAATCCAACCGATCCTTGGAAAGCATGAGGGAACGTAGGAGCACGTCAGAACCATTCTTCCCGCGAAAAGCTAAGGCAGAAGAGGTCGTGGTGATACAGCCCTGGTTCAACCTGCTGGCAGCGGCAATTTGGCAAAGCGAGAGAGATCGCGGCTCGATCCAAACATCACTGCAAGACTCCAGAGAAGAGGCACAGCTCCATGTCGCTTTAACGATTTCGTCCAGGGTTGGTTAGGTTAGCGGTTAGGGTTGGGCTGCTTTAGGGTTTGATCGGGGTGCAGGATCTAGTGTTTGAGCGTTTGGGCCGGTCACTCCTTTTTGCTCGTCGACCTCAATCTCTTCAACAAGCGTGCCGGAACACTGCGCACTTCAGAGGATGTGCTGGTGTCCGTGCCCGTACCCGGGATTGGGAACCAGGTGTTGCTATCTGAATATGGCTTGCTCTTCATACCGTGTCTGCTGCAGTGTCGGCATCCTCGTGATGGACATATCTCACATGTATGGGGGCTTGAAGGTGCACTGGAGCCAGTCGCGCATGAGCAATGAGCTCTCCGCGCTTCGCACCCCCAGGACAGCTTCGGAAGCACGGATCGAAAGGGTGTTTGACATGAGTCTCGTGGCTCGAAGGACCCTCAGCCGATGTTTGCCGCGCTCTCCCTGCGACAGCCGCCTCGACAGTGCCAGTACAGAAACACGGCCTCCAAGCTCCCAGGCCAGAGCAAAGTCGACACGTGACAGCATCTCACACGCATCTCGATTTCAGCAGGTGCCGCTGTTGCCTCGGCCAAGACGGCTGGAGCAGGAAGGCCAGGCGGCCACCGGCTGTGGGAGTTAAAGGGGGCTCGGGCTCCGCTGAGGAGCACTGGCGCTGGGAGCTCTGGAGGCGACTGTGTGGCCCGCGGGTTCGGCACGTTGGCGCCGGTTGGAGCTCGTGAAAACGAGCCCCAGCCCTGGCCCAAGCCCGGCGCCACAGCGGACGAGGGAGCCTCGCAGCAGCGATGCATTCCTCGGACCCGTGGATTGCGAGGTGCCCGGGGGGTTGTGAGGGGAGATCTTGGGAGCTGGTCGTGGAGCATGTCTCTTTTCTTTTGTCTCGACGCAGTCCGACGGGGAGTACGAGCCCTTCGCGGCAAGAGCTCCCAAGCCGCGGTCTGCGGGTGCAGCACGCTGCTGGTGGCAGCTGTGAAGACAGGTGCACTGCTCTGCTTTAAAACGGTGGCATTGTGGAACGACCCACGGACTCTGTTAAGCGACATGGCAGTTCACTCCTTTTAGCAACCGTCGCTCGCAGACTAAGAGACTGCGAGATTCAGGAGGCACGGTTCAAGTTGAGCCGGGCAACTTGTAGCAGATGATCACGGAAGCTCAGCCAGCAGGTTGGTATGGACAGCTTACATGACCGAGAGCAGATACATGTGGGGAGCATGTGCAGCCGGTTGCCCTTTCCACTGTCCCTCGTAGCTGAACAGTTGGCAGGTGCGGGCATCTTGAACTCGGGATACCCACAGCCGTAGAATGTGTCTCACTGGCAAAGATGCTCTGCAGTCGCCTTTCATGAAAGGAAAACCGGCGACAGCACTCTTCTGGCATTCGGCCCAAGTCCAATGTGGCCACAAGCGCAAAAGCACTTCCCGCGTGTTCGCAGCTTGCCACCCAGCTCAGACAAACCTGTCCGTTGCTGCCAAGTAAGATGGACGGAGCAAAGGTGCATGCTACTTTACCTTGCATGATCATTACCTCGGCACAAATGTAAGGACTGAGCATGAATGACCTATACAGACTATTTTTAGATGATTAGCTGATGCAGCACTTGATGCATGGAAGTCGACGGACTCTCGGTATGTAAATGCCACAGCTCGACAACATGGGATGGCTGTGGAGCCGTCGCAGAATGGTCCACGGGTCGCCGAAGCCCTTGGAGGTTCGGAGCCCTCGAGCGTACATCAGTGGCAAACGAGGCCAGCCTCCGAAGCAGATCTCCTTCTCTTCGCTTCAAGGTCACAAAAGCCTATAGCCTCATGCACTCTCAGTCTCTCAGGTGGGCTGATGAGCTGGTCCGTCAGGAGTCAGAGTCAGAGAGTCGCATCGCAGCGCAGCATCGCATGCTTCGCGGATGCGAGCCGGCGAGCCAGGAGCGATGTGCCGCGGCCTTCCTTCGACGCCGCGCCGATGCGGAGGCCTTGCTCCGCCGGCGCGAGGCGGCCTTCGCCCGCTGCGAGGGCCGGCGGGGCCCCGTGCAGCGCGCACAGGCGAGGCGGAGACTGGCGTGCGCGTCCCGGGCGCTTGCATGCTTGCATGCGCTTTCGCCCAGAGGTTGCCTGGCTGACGCACCGCACACTCGCGGCCTGGCGGTCCTGGCTCGCCGCCGAGAAGGCCAAGTCCGAGTTTTGCTGCTCAGATCGCCTGCAGTGCTCTGCTAGTATAGGCGGAGCGCCACTTCACGCGATTGATGGACGAGTTGCGGCAGGAGGAGGACCTGTCCGAACTTTGCGAGGGTATTCGGAGTTGCGGTTGCGTGCCGCAGCAAGGAGAGGTTTCAGAACGAGCAGAAGGAGCTCGCTGCTGTGCAGGACCTCGAGAGCGAAAGATGAGAAAGCAGAGCAATCGCAAGCGTTCCAGTACAGCACGCAACGGCAGAGGGAGTCCTTTCGACCGGCGGTCCCCAGTGAAGGCAGAAGCTTCCCAGATGTTTCTAGTTGTGCGAGTGTATTTGCTTCAAGTTGTTGTGACGTTTCCCGACCACAGCAGAAGCAACATCAGCGATTCATATCCATGAGCCATCACCGACGGCTACCTGAGCAGGTAACGGGGAGCAGAACAAGAGGCAAGAGGTGAGCAGCGAGATCCATAGAGTTCTGATGCAGGAATTTAACAAGAGCCGATGTTGTAGTGAAACGGCATGCACACGGCATGCACCGCACAGACAGCCAAACCAAGATGCTGAGTATGCTGCAGTTTCTGCCTTGGCTCGTGGCTGCTCCGGATGTTGTGGCGTTGAATATGCCTTGCAAGCACTTACATCAGAGTGGCAACTAGAGCGAAACAAAGGGCTGCCTGCCCCAGTGCAAGGCTCTGTGAGGAGTGGAGAGGTCGCATCATCTGTCCATAAGCCCAGAGCCTTGGATCAGGAGGGTGTCGCTGCTGAAATTCGGTGGTTGCGCCGGCTGTGCACAGCACGGCGTTTGCGGCAACACGTCGCTGCGGAGCAGACCTTGCTTTGGCTTGAGCGGATCGACGCCTGGCGACTAGCTCAAGAAGCGCTGCGATCTTGGCTACGTGGCTGCAGCAACGCAAGCAGCGGCTGCTTCTAGGTTGTCTCTGGAGGTGCTTGCCGGGGCTGTGTACCAATCATGTCAGGTTCTTACTCACTGTTTCTCAGTACAGCTTTGTTGACGGAGGGTATTGCTCTGATGTCTGCTGTCCCTTCAGCCTCATCTTTTCTGTTTCATCCGTTGTTGGACGGCTGCCGTGCGATTCTTGGTTGTGGCAGTGGCTGTTTACGACTTTCGTGTACTGTTGTGCCAGAGCGCGAGTGACATGCACGATCACGAAAAAGAGTTCGCCGCGTGCCAAAGTTTGTTGTCCAAGAGCAGCTAATAAGAAATCCACACATGTTCCCAGCTGGAGCCTCCGCATAGAATCTCAAACTCGGCAGCTTGGAAGCTTCACGGAAATTCGGCCTCTATCCAGTAACACTACAGGCTTCCAGCTGCTTGTTATTGTGGCATCCGAGTTGCTCTCACTCTAGGAACGGACGTGAAGGAGTGCATGCTCCCTCTCTGGCTCTCTCTGATTCGCTTCAGTGCGGCATCTTCCGGCAAAGGTCTCGCTTCGCATCCCAGGCGGCAGGAAGGGTGCAACTGACCTGGCATCTCGCGGCGCAGCGAGATGTGCTCTGCGCGCTGTGGGCCTGGCACGCCTCGGCCGGGAAGCGTCGCCGAACACGGCAGAGGTTGGACGTTGGAGCACATGAGTTTGGGGACTTGCTGAAGTTTTCTTAGATTTCTGAGAGATTTCTGAGCAGGTCTGAGTTGGAAGCCAAAGAGGCTGAGCTGTCGCGATACCAAGCGGCCGCTCGCAGGGCCAAGTTGCTGAGCTACGGGAATTGGCGCTCGCAACACAGCTCGGAGCGCAGGCTCGGTGGGACCCGGTGGGCGCCGTCCCGGCCGTCCAAATGCTTGGAATTGACCTTTCCTGGAGCCCGTGGGTTTTGTGGAGGTCCCAATGTTGGAGCGCCCTCCGGCTGTGGCGGCAGGGCGTGCTGGCAGCGAGACGAGGGCTCGCAGCTGGCAGACGCCGCCTTTGTCTTCACACGCTCCGCGCCTGGTCGGCCTGGAGGGATGCCCTGGCGGCTTGGCGATCCACAGAGGGCTACCACCTCTCTTTCCCCCTCTGTCTCTCTCTCTGTCTCCCTTCCTCGCTCTCTGGCTCTCTCTCTCTCTCTCTCGCTCTCTCGCGCGCACGCTCTCGCTCTTTCAGCCTTTCAGGTGCAGGCGCAGGTGGCGCGTGCTTGCGGCCTCGAGCGAGCGGAGGCCACGGAGGCGGCCTCGGCGCACCGGCGCCGCATCGCCACCGTCATAGGCAGGCCATGCATTCGACTTCAACACATGAATGAAATCATAACCCCGTGCTGTTTTGTTCTTGGTTTGGCCTTTGGTGATTCCAACTACCAACTCAGGAGAGAAGAAGCTGCTAGAAACAAGTAAGGTGTCTGTACCTATCAAGTTTACGCTCCTCTACTGTATAGCATTGAGCGAGCTTCCCACAAATTACCAGCGTGCCGGCGTGATTCAGGCGGTTGCTGGCAGTCTTACCAGACTTGGTGGTTGCTGCAGATTGTGGTAAGCTGGCACCGTGCTGCTAAGAACGGTGGCCATCATTGCGCCAGCGAGCAGCTGGAGCCTGTCGTGTCTGTTGTGCGTGGCTTTTAGATGCAGTTTTAGTTGTAGTCTTCTGGAGATACAAGATGCAAAATGCCCCATCCGGAGACACTGCGACTGTGAGGAGCAAGAGATGCAGTCGTCCTTGGCAGAAGCTGCGAGAGTTCGGGGCCAATTGGACCGTCAACGCGAAGCGTCGCTTCCCCAGATTCGATCAAGCCACGGTACACCTTTGGCCATTGCGAGAAGCGCCATGCTTTCATCTGAGGTTGGCTGCACAATCTTACCTTCGTAAGTCCGAGCGCTCCCAGCTGGAAGCGGAGCTTGCCGACACGCAGCAGGCCGGGCTGGCCAGAGAGCTCAGAGGTCACCTCAGCCATCAGGAAGAAGCAGCGGACCACAATGACTATGATTTTCACAAAAGTTGTTCACCCGGCTAGAACCGATGTGGGTCGAGGAGGTTTTGCATGGTTGTGTCACATGGTGAGGGAGAAGCTTGTCGAGTATCTCCAGGGAATGCGGTCGCAACACATGACAGCTCAAGAGCATGTTGAGCTGATACTCTCATACATGGCGTTCTTGGCGGACTCAGTGCTCTGTTGGAAGGCAGCGGCCATTCAGCAAGAGTGACACCTGTCTGCAGTCTTCAAGAAACCGTCGATTTTGATTCCATCTCGCGCGCTTTTGCGCGAAGAAGCGGCGAACCCGCGTAAAGACGAGAATCGCCTCTTACGAACTTCCGTGCGCAAGAGGGGCCACGTCCAAAGCCACACCGACCATAACTTTCCTGGCGAAGTAAACTAGCAATGTTTCGAAGGGTTGAAGGTGAAAGCACAGAGCTTTCAATGCGTCCAAAGAAAACGGTGTTGCAAGCCGTGGAGGCGCATGAGTCAATTAGACAAGCCTTGCAATCTCAAGTCAGAAAGGACCGTTGAAATTGAAAACACTTTGTGGGTTCTGAGAGTGATTAAAAGGGAAATGAAAGAGACATGCTCGACAGTAATTGCAGCACTTTGGTGACATACATGTCCTCGGCAGCCTTGAAGCTCACGCCAAAATTGTCGACGGATCTGCTGTCGAAGTCCTGTCACCGGCAATTTTGTTTCTGAGGCTTTATGTATCTGACTTCATAATCCCAAAGCAGGGGCAAGACTGCAGAAAGTAGGCTTGCGAGGGATCGTAGAATCTCCATGCCAGGCTCTTGCGCAGCTGCAAAGAGACCTGGCAGAAGAAGCATCCAGCCTGTGTCTCAGCGAAGAGAGCACGAAACCACGGGGGGCCGGCATCGCAGACAGAGGCCTTGCCACGTTGGAGCTCGAAGCCGTGAGCGGAACCGGAATGGAGCCCAGTGACATCTCGGTTCTGCCCAGGCCCATCTTGGGTTTCGCCAAGAGTAGCAACAGCATGAGGTTGTTTGGCGGGTTTGAAGGACCCGCAAATGTCCGAGGGTCCATGTGTCCAAGCGATGGCTACAGCTCTTGGAAAATATTCATTTGAGCGCTCACGTGCATAGCATCTAGCTGGCCGTTGTCAGCCTGCTTGTGCTGCTTCGGCGTCCTGCCGATCTTCGGCATACTGTCTCAACATGTCTCAACCGGCTGTGGCCCCCTCGCTGGACCTCCCCTGTGGTCGGACTTTCCCTCTCTCTGCATGTTGTCTCTTTACAGGGTCGTGCAAGCAGCTCAAGGAAGCAGCTCTTCTTGCATTTTGGATACGCTGCCAGGCAGACTGCCGACTCGCAGGACTTGGAGCGAGAACTGCTCGAGATCCAACGACAGTGCCCTGGCTGTCAAGCTGATCAACTTTTTCAAGACGTTTCTTTTTTCTCGGTTCTCTTTATCGGACACAGCCTCTTGGGAATTCGGCGAAGCGGCGAGGAGATAGCTAGATTGCTCACGGCAAACACCATCACTAGGTTCGAGAGTCGTAGTATACAACCCCCCTGCCTCAGGCTGCGGCAGCCGACAGCCGCTGGGCTTTCTGGGCGCACTGCGTGAAGAGTCGGTCTGCTTGGAGACAAATAGGGTCTCTCGAGGGCAGGGTGGCCAGCAAGAAGCTTTGTGCCTGGTTTCATACAAAGAGGTCTAAGAGATGCCGATCTCCGGCGTCAGCAAGTGATCGTGTTTTCACGTCCTGTCGTTCTGCCGGTGCAGCTTTTTATGCTCGTCTGCCGGTGCTCGACAAGAGTGTGGCCGGTGCCGGTGCCTTGGCTGCAGCTTCATGCCTTCAGACTCGACTCTTCCATTTCAGAGAGTCGGCAAGTACCCTTGAAGTTGTCCAGGTATCATGTTATCCAAGTTCTCCCGGCGCATTTCGCAATGCCTGGTCAGTGGTTCTTCTCGACTTCGCTCCCATCTCAGATCAATGCTTGCGCTGGTGAGGCATCCCAAGTCAAACGCACTGCCTGGCTGGCAGGTGTGGTGCCTGGCCCAAGAAATGCACCAGTAGTGCAGGCATTCCAGGCCCCTGGCTGCAATGCTCGTGTTCGCCTACTTTCTGTACGCTCCTGCTCGGTAGCCATGGCAGGTGTGCCAACAGCGCGCAAAGGCTGATATCTCTGCACCCCTGGCGCCGGAGCCACCGTTCCCCACAGTGCTCCCGCCGAGCTGCAGTGCCTTCTGACTGCCCTTCCCTTGCTGGACTGCATCGCCCGCGGTAGATACGGAACTAGCTTTGTTCATACTACTACGTAAAGCTTTCATGATCACGAGAACACCCGCTGCACACCGGTTGCTCAAGCGTGGTGTGTGTTGATCGTCATGTACGGCCAATCCCATTCCAGCCATGGAGGCAACCAGTCTGGCAGCTCCGAATCTGTCCTTGCTTATCGGAAGCACTGGGAGGAGCGCATTCGGCAATGGGCATGCAGCCCTTCTACCCAGCAGGGGCTCGAGGAGTTTGGGTTTTCTATTCTCCCGGGCGCCTTCAGCGCGGGAGATGTCGACATGCTGCTGCACGAGTTGCCCTGGCATTTGGAAGGAGGAGCTGTCAAGATGGAGCAGCAAAACAAGGGCAATGGAGGCTATGTCCTTAGCTGTAAGGGCAGCTCATGACCTGGAACAAATGTAGAAGTTGGTAGTTGTTCTTGTCGTTTGCCTAGCAGATCATTTCAACCACAGTGTATACCGTTTGCAGAACTGCTCACATCCAACTTGCGCATCTCCACCGAAATCTGGGATAGGCAGTAAGGCGCAAATTAGGTAGCAGATTATACAGGCAGCTCGAGGGGGAAGTCTTCGCTTGTCAGAAAGAGCAGCACCAGACAGCGTGCTCAGTGCATCCGCGATTCCGGGTGCCTTGCGTAAGTTCCCAATTCAACAAAGACCTTGTTCAATGCCCCGTGCTCAAGTGGCTCTGCCTGCTGTTTTGCAGTCCCAAGAATAGGCAAGGCGATCATCCTCAATCAGACCTTAAAGTTGCAGGCGGCAGCTCTTAACAATACTCGGTGGGGGCATCACCTGAACAGGAATATGCCTGTCGTGCACTCTATGTGCCAGCATCGAGTGAATCGGGTTAGCGTGTTTTTGGAAACGGGTAAAAGTTGAAAACCCCAAAGTAGCAAGGCCTTGGAGACTTGAGAAGTCCCACTGCTCGAGTTTCGCTTGCCAAGGCTACGACTATCTGAGGCAGCTGCCTGTCAGTCTTGCAACTCTTCGCGAGGTTGCCTATGAATCCTTGCTACCGATAGCAGCAGAGCTCCTTGAATCGCACAAGCTCGAGGTGCAGTCTTCCAGGCGAACATTCTCTTTGTCTGGTCTGGATTCTGCAGAAAAACGATTGGAAACGTTGCCGACAACCCTTCAGGAATTTGAGGATCTCTGCATCAGAAGAGGTCAGACACGCCCCAGCAACTTGTTCCTCTGGTATCAAGAAGGTGGCGAAAACCGCGAACATCGAGATATCTATGGCGAGGTGTCATTTCCCTTGCAGATGGTTCTGATGCTACATCAGGAGGGTGAGGACTTTACGGGCGGAAGATTCTTCACCAGAATGAATGGCCGCAAGCATGAGGCAGCTATGAACCGTGGTGATTTGCTTGTTTTCCGCACCGCCTGTTTGCACGGTTGCACACCTGTCCACCGCGGAAAGCGAGCCACAGTGAAGCGATACGTCCTAGGACTGCAGTTTGCCTTGCGCCAGCTACTCAGAGAGCGCAGGGCCAAAGGCTACAGGTGACATGAGCATCAAAAGACAGCATGGCACTGCGCGGGCTTGTTGCATCCTTGTTGCAATCTCGTGTTATACCTCTGCCGATCGCAGGTGATCGTCTACAACCAGTCCAAGCATGCGACAAATTCCGTTCTTGCCGACATTCGCGCTGTTTGGGGCAGCTCAGTTCGTGTGATACAGACCTTGGAGGCTTCGCGGGCGCAAGTTATACCTTGCACAAAGTGGTCATGCTAGAGTCTAGAGATTTGTTCTCCAGGAGGGCAGGCAAAGATTGCCGGGCATGGATGCCGCCCTCTATGTGAAGCCCAAGACATGGGGTGATCTGCAGCACTTCAAGGAACGCCTTGACTTCCTCTGCACTCAGGACTGTGCTGCACCGATTCTTTCGCGGCAGGTAACCTGCCCCCGCACCAAGCACTGCAGGACCATGAACTCAGCCGTCACCGAGCTGCCAAGCAGGCCACCAGATATCACTCGTACCCTGTGGGTGCTGTTGCCATCTCAAGTCAGGTTGTCTTCATGCCGGGTTGGTCCGCCTTCGCAGAATCTGCGGAAGCAGCCGTGGGCGTGCAGAACCTTGGCCTGGTCTGGCCTGGTACGGAGCCCAAGGCTTCACAGGGCTTGGAGAAGATCGGCTTCAAAAGAATCTGACACTTGGCTGCTAAAGACACGCTCAAGTCACGCAAGATCTCAAGTTGTGATGATTGTGTCATTTGTGATTGCTAGGTGAGAAGGTGGGGGCACCGACGCCGCCCTTCACGGTGCTCTCCGAGGAGGATGCGCCTTTGGTCGACCTCACTCATCCCGAGGCCAAGGAGGCCACGGAAGGGTGCAGTCCGCAGCTTCCGATCACAGCGCCTTGATTCTTGATTCAGGCTTGCGTTCAAGAGTTCATGAAGAAAATCCTCGAGATGAACTTCTCCGAGAAAGGTGGGAGTGCTCTGCAAGTCGGGACTTGATGTGAAGACCTCCGAGCCTCAGCCTCAGGTCTGATCAAAAGTATCCACGGTGGCGGTGGCAAAGGGACTGCGCACCTGCATCATCCCGACCAGCCGCACGAGGCGCAAGGTGCAAAGCTGAGAGCGGATTGCCCAAAGAAAGCCTCGACCAGGTTCGAAGGGCCGTGGAGAAGGTGATCACAGAGATGAACCGCACAGACGGGATCTACTTTGAGCAACGGGCTCCTCGGCGGACTCGATGCGCATCAGGGACTCGAGGAGTTCCGAAATGCTTCCGAAGCCTTTCTCCCTCGACATGCGCAAGCACCAGAGCACCACAGGGCAAAGGATGTCTCGAAACACTGACTTCGACGAAAAGGAATAGAAGTCCCATTTAAACTTGCGCATTCATAGTTTAGCCCGATACGATACCTGCGACATGCTCTTGGACGGAAAGATCTCGGGGTGCTATGGCCTCCAAGCCAAATCTGTATGTGTTCATAAACAGAGAGCGCTTGTCGCGTGCTCTACCAGTAGCAGCAGAAGCTTTGGCGCCATGCATCAAGGTGAATACAAAAGGTGATGGACGTTTCTACCAGATTGAGCTTGAGGCTCCAACACGATCTTGTTGCTGCTCTTGGAGGTTCCCGGATGTGCTCTGTTGCATGTTCCATGCAGAAAGGTGGACGGAGGCACCGTGGCAGATGGCGGCCGGTTCGTGTGGTTCAACTCCGGATTGCAGAAGGCCTGGCTCGCAGGGTGAAGTTAAAGATGAAGCATAAGGGAGCCGTGCTGCCGTTTATTTATTGCCGAGGTTGTGGAAATTGGCCTCAGCGATGACAAGATTGACCTGTTTATGTGTCTTGTGCAAATAGAGCTTCCGAAATCCAATCTAAGAGCTTGCTGGAGTGCCTGAGTGCCTGAGGCCACAGGATCTCTATCAGAAGTCGCGGAAGTGGGCGGGAGACATCGCGAAAATGGGCAACAACAACACCAGGCTTTTTTCTGCTGTGGTGATGTCGCCCTTCCTCATCCGTCCTTCTCGGAAGGGCCACCATGGAAGCCCTGGTCTTCCAGAATGAAAAAGGCCAGCCCCGCGCTTTGTGTGAAGACTTCGAAGAACCGATTCGCCCTGATGACTCCGATCAGTCTTCGACTCTTCAAGGTGAGTACGAGTGCTCCTTTATCGAGTGCAATCGACGCCCACAAGTCGAAAACGCAACTCGTCAAGCAAAGCTGATTGCCTGCAGTGCAGCAGTCCTCCTTTCTGATGCCCTCAAAGAGGCGAAGCCCAGGTGAAGTAGTCTTGCGAGATCAGTGTCTGCAGATAGCAAGCCAAAGCAAAGCAAAGCCTGCGATCTGCCAAGCAATTGGAGAGTCAGGCCCGGTTTCTGCCTTTCAAGGGCGCAGTTTCTGCTTGTCAAACAGGCGGAATGGCAGATATCCACAGAATCAAGGTCATGCCCCCAAGTGTTAATGGGCTTCTCTAGTGTTCGCTGAGAGTTACAGTTGGCTCAGCGAAGTCTTCCGTTTATGGTAAGTCTTTTTTGTCCTGCCGAGTCCTTGGCAGTCAGTGCTGCGATCCAGTTCGCTTGAGAACGGGTAATCCTCGTGCTGCATGGCTCCGATGCTTCACTTGTCCTGTCCGGTTGACTTGCGGTCCAAGGAAGCACTTGCACTATTGCAGACCGATAGCAAGGGCAATAGACGCTACACTTTCGCAGAGCTGATGATGCGTGCCACAGAATAATTGGAAGACAGCTTCTTGAGAGTATCGGCTTCCGGGTTTCCCATGTGATCCGTCGTCAACCTGAGGTGCAAAAGGATACCCGGCACCGACGTTTGCGCCGGCCAAGGATTGCTCCATCGTCCTCCATGCAAGGTGGTTGCACGGCAATCCCGACAGCGACGGCAAGATCACCTACCAGGCACAGGGCGAGAGAGAGAACAAGAGAGATCAACGAGAGAAGATGCCACGACTCAGATTCAATTGTATCATCAAGAGGCCGGGAACATCCTTGGCATGACTGGACCTCGGCACCGGCCTCAGTTGGCTTCCGAGTGCAAGACAGGACGGGGGTTTTCAGACCGGAGCTTCGTTTGCGAGGCTGGACTACATCAAAGCAGAGTTGATGGCTCCCGGCGAAATCTCCTTCACAGCAGATCCGCAGCTGGGCAAGGCTGACGCCGGCTAGTCCCTCGGAAATTTGTAGTTGAGCTGTGCGAAGGCCGTGATCACAGCCGACACTTGGGATGAGATGTGCGACAATGCGGCTGAATACTTCAGGAGGGCAGCTACAGCAAGGGCCGAAGTTTTGCTAGACCGCCCCTCTGTCACCGCAGGCTTCGCAAGCCAGCAGTCATGGGAGCATCCCGGCCTGATAGCAAGGGTAGGTCGTGCCTTGTGTGAGACTCGTGGACCGTGAGAGGCAGCATCCACCTATGCACAGACGCTGTACAACCTCTTCACCTGTCCCAAGCAACTGGTTTGCACCGAAAGATCCTTCGAAACAGCACCCCTGGCTTCAGCCGGAAGCCACAATGTCGGTGCACAGCGTTGCCAAGGTTCCGAGCTGGGAAGACAGCTTCCAACGAGACCTTTGCACACATTGAGATCCCAGACCACCCAGATCGAAGCGTCGGCCGCCCAAGTGCACAGTCTCGGGTCTCCGACTTCTCAAGCTTTCGACGAGGTGCTGACAGTTCTGAAGGAGCAAGTTGCTCCCGCCATTGTGAATGGCTATCGGAAGGGGGAGGGCGTCGACCCTGAGCGCTATCCCACGCTCGGCGCTGCTGCCACGCGTTGTCTTTGTGACTTTGTTGTCTTCGTAAAGGTGGGCACAGTCCGGTGCTGGTCGTAGCGATCTTCCGTGAAGGTGTCACAACCGCGGTGGAGGAACTGACACATGAACTCACAAAGCCGTTCGGCATCACTTGATTCCTCCGGCCCCGGATCGGATTGTAATTGGCCCCAACTTCCGGAAAGTATTCTTTTCTTTGCGTGCTGAGGACCGCGCCGGAGGCCACCAAGTTCACGGCCTTTGCCCGGGGAGAGGTGCAGAACGATTCTCTCGCGTGGCCTCACTCCATCTCAGTTGCGCAGCGAGAGGCATCCTACGAGGACTACATCGCAGAGTTGCGAGCCAAGCTCGACAAGCAGGTCCCGCATCCCGTTCCCTTTCAAGTCTCCTCTTATGCATGTGTAGATTTGTGTGGACGCACCCGGATCCCAGGGCGGCGGCTGGGTAACCGTGGCGCCCCGTGACACGGCCCAGCAGGGCAATGACTCCGAGAGCGCGTCCGCCGGCGGCTCAAAGCCACAGATTGCTTTCAGCAGCAACATGCTGAAATCCCATCTCCATCGGTCCTGTCGCACTGCCGCTTCCACGTGGTCGAAGTCTTACGTCCTTCCCTGGTACGGTTCGAACGGAGCCGATAATATGCAAGCATTACACTGCAGAAACCATCTCATGGAAGGTCCTTGAGCATATCATTCCCTAATCCTAGTCACCTAGTGTCGGCCGTGCTTTTTCAATGCCTGCCGCACGACAGGGAGCAGGAAGTGACATGACTGTACGGAGAAAGCAAATCGCTCATCCTCACCTCCAAGATATGCACAGCTGTGGGGGAGTGGAGCATACAGTAGGCATCTGGGCTGAGGTGAGCAACGTCAGTCGAGTCAACGCCGAAGTTTGGGCACAAAAAGCTGGCTGCGCAAGAAGCCCAGAAGCCTCATCACCAGCCAGTGTGACTCCGGGTTTGAAGGCTTTGCTGTGCTTGGCTTGTCGTGTTGCAGGTTGGCTACGAGACGGGCGGGGCACAGTACCAAGCAGGTTCGGATTGAGTAGAAGTGCAACGAACATGTGTGACCGGCGCCTGTAGGTTTGATTCGCGGCTTCGATCCTGCTACGATTCTTCGCCTCGGTTGCTGCCTCGTGGCTCGGGGGAATGTGTGAAGTTGGCCTCCGCTCGCTGCAGGCCTGCCGTACAACATGCCAGCTCACTCGCTGCAGCGTTCGCAGTACGTAAATGGCCTGGCCGAACTTACCCCGGAGATTCGAGTCTCGGCTGGAAGAACAACTCCGCTGTTAGATCTCATGCAGCATCAAGTGTTGAGGCCTCCCGCTCTTCCAAGCGACGGGTGAGATCGTGGCGCAGCACTACCGCGGCAAGGGAAGCATCGAGAGCTCTGCTCTCAAAGCCTCAGGACATGCCCTGATTTTGATGAGACTCGACAAGCAATCGCAGTCGAGGCTGGGTGCCGTGGATGCCCTACAACTTCCATGCCGGCAACTTCGTCGACCCGAAGACAGGTCACAGCCCGCAGGACCGACTCGAAATACTTCCGAAGAAGCTCCGTAGGCATGAACTATGGGGGGGGGGGCATTCGAAGCATTGGCTTGTGTCTGCTGGCCACCGACTAGGACGAGACGACCCTGGAGCTGTTGGACGCAAAATGCCTGTACCTCCCTCAGACGAATGTGCGGCGACACCTGACAGCCTCAAAATCTGAAAGACAGGCCAATGCCAAATTGGGTCTTCTCGCCCAAATTTCCCTTGGAGGCTAATGTGCTTGTGACCGGCGATTGTTCAGCATAGGGTAAGTCAAGGCTTGCCACACAATCTGCTCCCAAATCGTGTGACTGTTTGTTGTGGATTGGAGTTGGGGTCGTCCGGCCGTTGTCAGGCTCTCAAGAAGTGGACCGAGCGCCAGATTGACCTCTTCGGCACGAAGGGCCTGCAGTTGCACCAGATCCGTATCAAGAATCCGGGCCAGGCCAGGTCAGAGTTTGCCAGAGTTCCTGGAGTTCCTTCTAGGGGTCCAAGCTGTCGGCGTGGCCTGGCCAGGGCAAAGACTGGACGGCGGACGCTGTGTGGGCTCACATCGAGACGATGATCGCGACCTTCAAAGCGAAGGGTCTCCCACCGCCGATCGTCCACATCCACAATCATGACACTTGCACAAGTTCTACGGCTCTACTCTACTGGTGCCAAGACAAGGAAGAGCTCCCTCCCTTGTGCTTCGCAGGACTTCAATGGTACTGCTGCACACGTGGGTGCAGAGCTCTTCCGAAAGGCCCAGAAGGTGCGACGGACCTGCGTGCGTCCCTGGTTGCTGTAGCCATGTCCACGGACCGTCCGTGTGTCAGCAAGTGCTCGGATTGCTCGGGCACAGGCGAATTTCAGCACCCTGGTCATTGATGCTGCTCCACGCAAGAACGGCACTCACAATGACAACACCGTGCCACACCCGTTTATGAGCAGTCAGGTACGGATGTCTTGTCCTCGCCGCAAACAGGGTGATGAGCTGAGGTGCTACTGGACCCGCTGAACTTGAGTGTAGAGGAGCATGCAGCTCTGGCGGAGTACAACCACAATCAGCAGCTGATTGAGAGCCTTGGCCATAGCTCGCAGGGATCGACCAAGACTACACAAATCGATCCCGACAGATGTCATGGTCGCTGCAACTGAATTGTAATTAGGAGTTCATCAAGTTCTCAAGAACCGAAGCAGAGCATTCAAGAGCCGACAGGGTTATGACTGTGCTGATGACCACGCACTGGGAGGATGGAATGGCCCAGAAACCACCAGCGTACCGGATTCGTCTCTTGTTTAACTCGGGCTCGTCACAAAGCCTCTTATCGTAAGACGTTCAGAAACCAATGCCACCCGCAAGACCAAAAAAGACAAGGGAGCCAGCGACCGCCGTCGTATTCAAACTCAAGGGCAAGAAGGCCACGCCTGCAGAAAGAGCTGCACGACCTCCAACACTGCTCCCAGACGAAAGACACTAGTGCCTCCATTCGGGCTTTGGGGGAGGGGAGCGACGGCGGCACACGCCAAAACATGTCTCCGGAAGCAGGGAGACTCCAACAGCAGTTAAGTCTCCAATTCGTCAGTTTCCACCGCTGTCGGTTCACGTTGAAGGGTTGAAGAGGCATGGAAGTGGCATGGATGTGCACAAGACCCGTGCCAACCTCGTCCGGGCTGGGCCTCGAAGCCCGGTAAAGGCCAAAAAGGAGGAGAAAGAGACTGCATCGGCACTCACGTCACCTAAGGAACATCCTGTGCAGGTTTGACAGCCGCGGCTTGTATTGCAGTTATAGGCAGCACCCAGGACATGGAATCGCGGAAGCATTCCGTCGTGCAGTCATCTCCGAGGCACTTCGCAGATGACTCCCTGGGATTCCGACTGGGCCGGCGGAACCGAAGGCCATGCATCAACAAGATCCTAATACCTGACCATCTCCATATATCGATTAGCTGAATAAAAGGGAAGTGATTAGATTACAGTTTCATTTCAGACTTTGGTAAATACTCACTGTTACTAACCCTCATGAATGACCCCAACGAGCCAACTAGATTTGTCGGAGGCTCGGATATCCGCATTGCCAAAGAGTATTCCCTGGATGTGCGGAAGATCAACCACGCCAAGGCCAGGGCCGGGTAGGAGCAGATTGAAAGAGCAAAACGCCTCTGGATGTGAACAGAAGAGCTGCCCAGTCTGGGCAAGGACCGATAGACTTCACTCCATCGTGAACAGCTCACCGAACACCTCCAGTTCTCACAAACTTTGCCACTAGTGAGGTAAGGAATTGCGTCCCGAAAGACATCCCGGCTCGAACAAATTGGGGAACCAGACAGGCAACAGGAAAAGTGGTTGCCGTGCCGAGGAGGTGGCCAGTGAGGTCTTCCCCCTGGAGCGAGCAGTTACACCCTTCTCCGAATATAAGTTGCGACTAGGAATTGCCCGGCTCTTGGAGGGCGCAAGCAAGTGTGAGCTCACTGTCATGGTGTTGCCCCGGCGCCATGCACCATGCTCGCCATGCTCAGGCTATCATGATCGAGCCCGGCATTGAACCAAAGACCGCTGATGCAGCAACTTGGCCCGGATCAGCACAGATGGCTCTTTCCCTCTGACGAGTGTGACCCTTTTCCCAGGTGCGGCAGTGGGTCAACAAGGGTGGAAAGTTGAAAGTTGGTGGCGATGTGCTGGTGGGTCTGAAGCGCTGGGAGACGCTGGTTCCCAAGACCCCGGAGGTGGACAAGCTCCTGCAGAACATGCCCGAGGCCGGCCGAAGCCCCCGCGTGAGCGCTCTTGCACGCTTCGAACTTCAGGAGCTGGAAGCCGCCTTGGCTCAGAAGTCGAAGCTCATTGGTCCTGGCGACCTCCCTGCAGACCTCACGCCCGCTCAGCGTCACACGGCCCTGGGCTATCAGGCGAAAGGACTGGAATTTGTCAAGGCGCAGGCAAGGTCTGTGTGTGGTGTGAGATGCTGCAGCGCATGCCGCGCATGCTGTGGGCTGATATGGGCTGGGTTGCTTCTGTGAGGCCAAGGGCACCGACTTGACTCCACTGCTCATTGCACCGACAGTGCTGCACAGCGCTCCGAAGAGCTTGAAGCCGGGCTCCAACTTCCAGATCCTCATGGACAAGCTCGACGGCGAGTTGCCGAAGAAGGTGCGAAGCGACGTGGCGAAAGCGCGCTCCTCTCGCGCTGCTTTCAGCTCCTCACACGGACGGAGACCGCGCTTTCAGGAGGAGATCCAATTTGTCGGCTTTGGCTTGGCTCCAGGGGCGGCCTCGGGGCCCCAGAGTTTGGCCCGAGAGCTGGTCCTCAGCCTCTCGGACGAAGACTGCGACGAAGACTGCTGTTCCGCCGTTATCACCTTTTATGCTACGGCTACAAGGCGCCAATTGGAACACGAACGAAGCGAATGGACGGTCGGAACTCAATGTTGAAATTAAGTCAACCTGAGAAGCTCACACCTGACTTTCCATTGACTTTCCTCTGTGCTCATTCATCCGTGTTGCCGCTTTGTTTTAATTTACTGTAGCTGAAAGAAAGCCAATGAGCGAAAGAACGAAGCGTGATCTCTTTGATTGCATTGAGCAAAATGGACCAGTTTTCCCACGCCGTTAGAGCATCAAGAAATAGATGTGGCATTCAGAATTCATTCCGTTCATTTCTTCTTCAAGCCGACTTTCCGAGGCTTCCTGCACGAAGGGCAGACGGTCCAGGCGGGCCCTCTCTGAGAGAAATCTGCGGTGCTGCTCTGTCACTCTGGGAGGTGCAGCTGCCAGATCCGGATGCTGTAGCCAGCGCGGCAGCAGCCGGAAGCGGTCCGCGCAAAGCCACGCCTGGCAACAAGTTTGAGGCACCGGGATGCGCATGTTTCATTTCGGTTGCCTTGGAGCTTTGCAGAAGTCTTCAGCAGCTCTTGGCAGATTGAAGCTTGCCGAGGTCCCGACGGTGGTGCCCGGAGAGGTGCTTTCGTACGCCGTCAAGGCGCGATTCTCCTGCAAATCCTGCTTATTCCCTTCCCAAATCAATTTCAGTACGGAGCATGCCTTTCTCGAAGGTGGGCGACACCTTGGAAAAGGGGCAGATCCTGTGCGTCCTGGAGTCAATGAAGATGGTGCTGACCTTAGACGCAGCCCGATAAATGACAACACCACAGGGGCGAATTCACGTTCTGGCACCCTCATTGGTCTAATCCGAGCCATCATGGCCTCCGTTCAAGCAAAGTTGAAGGTGGCAACGACACCCGCTCCAGTATTTTCTTTATTGCCCAAGTTCAGCCACCAAAGATCAAGGCTCTTCTGGCGTTCGCCTTGTCAGGAGATGAAGATTCCGGTGCCAGATGAGCTGGTCGGTCTCAAAGTGAAGGACGAAGCCCCGTGCCAGGGTGTTCACAAGCAGTAAGAGCCGCCGCTGTGTCTCTGTCTTGGCAGGACCTGCCGTGCAAGGGGAGGACCAAGGAGAAGCAGGGCGACATCCTGGCGCCCGGGGACCTCATGATCGAGCTCTCGGCCAGCAGCCTCAGCGAGACAGAAGGCATTAGGTCAGCGCGTGCTGGCGTGTGCTGGCGTGTGCTGAGGAGTGAGAGACGCGGAGCGAGGAATGAGAGCCGTGCGGGCCGTGCCCGTTTTGAAGCCAACGGTGGTGGAGCCTCCGCACTGGCACCTTTTAGAGTTTAGACGCCACGGGGACAACGAAACGTAGGCAAAAGAGGCGAGGAGAGGCACTTCGGCCTCAGTCTGACATCAACATCGCAGAAGATTAGACAGTTCAACATAGAAATATTTGTTTCGTTGCGGAAAAGCTTCAATGTTGATTTCGGACGCTGAGGTTGGATGGGTGCAGCAGTGCTGCGTAGGCATAAAGCCGATATAGCCACCCAAGCGCAGATAGAGGCCTTGAGTGTCGCTATTCATTATTTAAGTGATCGAATTATGCGATGCAGTCGAGTTTCAAAGAGCCTTGCATGCAGGACAGCACTGTCGCAGGGTTAATTCTGGCATGGTTGCCCTGTGTAGTGCGGAAGCTGTTAAGAAGCGATCCGTCACGCTCGGAATCTGTTAAGCAGCGAGCCGTCACGCTCCGAAGCTGTTAAGCTCAAAGCAGCACATCCAACTCGCTGCACGAAAGGGTCAGCATGAACGACGAAACAAGGTTTCTCAAATTGGATCCAAATATACCACCGAGCAAGCATCGTGGGCAATGATGCTTCCAAGCCCAAAGCAACCTCGTCGTCATCCTTGCGTTTGGATGGCAATGAACTTCTGGCGACGACATGTAGTGTATATATCCGAGTCGTTCAAAGTGCAAAGAGACACCGGAACGTGTGAAGGCTCAGGTTAAACATGCGAACGTACACGGTAGTCGGGCTACGTGGTCTCACCTTGTCTAAAGTCGTCTCGCGCGGGCGTGCACATGGGGATTCCGCATACAAGCTCGTAAGAACATTTAGCTACAAGTCATCTCACCCCGGCAAGCACATGGGGATCCCGAAGTAAAGCTTGGGAGCCAGTTGTGTGGCGACATTGAAAACCCAACTACAACGCCAAGCCTGACCACTACCTCGCGCGGACTTCGCGCAACCTCGCGTAGGGCCACCTCTAGGCCCCTGTAAAACCCAGGTTTTGGCCCTCCAGCCACCTGTACGTCCCCGAAGGAGAGGAGGAGAGGTGCGGTTTGCAACCATGATCAGACAGTGCTCCTTGAAGCCCAGCGTGTACATGCAGTTTCTGCTCGTTTCGAAGCCTGGACAGTTCCCTCTAGAACGTGGCGTGCACTTCGCACAACCTGCGTCGATTTAACCCCAGCGCTTAGTAGCCAGGATCGGCTGACTCATGCGAAGCCCACGACCGAATGCCCGATAAACCTCTGGCTCAGCATTGCCTGCGTGCTCAGGTCAGACGAGTGTCCCAGATGACCAATGTGTACCATTGCCCACAGGTCGCTTCGCTCGGAAATTTTTCCCAAATTGACATAAACGACCAAAGCAACCACCAGGTCAGTAAAGCTGCATTACCTATCGTCCACAACGACGTTTGTTTTTACTTGGTTTCATGAATTGGAAGCGTTCTGCCCAAAATTGTGCACATGTGCGCGTGCAAACAAAAAGGAAAGAAGACCAGCACAGAGAACTCGCATTGCGGCTTGATTGCATATGGGGAACAGGTTGGGGGTTGGTCGTGGTGAGTTCGCGCAGTTCGTTCTCTGACGCCCTGGGTGTTGGCGGTGGGTTTGAAGGTGCTGCGAGAATGTGTCCTTGGTTTGTTCCCGGATGGATATCGCACACGGAATTTGAAATCGTGTTTTTTTCTGTATTTGTTTCCGATTTTCATTGTACGCGTGGAGCAGAAGTGGGTCTGTACAGGTCTGGGTCGATCAGCAGGGTGGCGCTGGTTGTATACTTTGGAAGCCTCGTGCAGGCATGCGCTTCTGTAACACATACCGGCCGCCGGCCTTACCCCAAATCGTTTTGTTAACCAACAGCCAAGTCCAAGAGATAAAACAGTCGGTTTGATACTGCTTTTGTGCAAATAGTTTTCTTTTGTTACGAATTTTTCCTTTTCGGTCAAGACTTGTATTTTCTGTTCCTTTTTGTGCGAAGACAGCTGGGAGGTGTTTCGGGTGACCCTGAGCAATGCCACACCAATCGTTTCGCGAAGAGAGCCGTCAGCGTGTGCGCACGTGCATACACATGTGTACACGCATTCAGAATCTCACCTACGTCGCTTCCTGTCGGCTCGTTTAGGCTCAGGCCCGCTTGGAGGCTGTTTGTGGCAGAGGCCTGCCGACACCGCTTCGGCTCAACGTTGAGGCAAGAAGGGATGCAGTCAAGAACGCTTCACTTCGCGGGTTTCTGGAATCCTGTGCCGCAGCGTGCCATGGTACCCAAGGACTGGCAAAGGCAGTGCTCACGTACAGGCCGGAACCTTGGCCAACGCAGAGCGATGCAGAGCACATAGCCGTTCACGCCCTCCACCTCGCCTTTTTTCGATCCTTGGGTTGCCAGGTGAAGGACAGGGAAACTCTGAAACCAAACGAGACTGATTGTCAAGCCTTGCGACGCCTCAGGCATCGTAGCAATGCACCAAGAACTTGACCGTTCCGCGATTCGAAGCTGTGAGGTGGTCGCGTAAAGACAGGCACGATGAATTCGCGAAAGAAGTGACGAATTCAATCTTTCTGTTTTCATGAGCGCGTTCCCTCCACGACTGTCCCAAACACCTTCAGCAGGCTCACACGAGGTGGAGAAATCCTGCGTAGGGAATGAATTCCTGTAGTTACCACAGTTAGTCCTTTCCACCTGCGCCGCACAAGGTGAAAGATGCGCCGATCGAGGCAAGGATATTGGTTCTCTAGCATTGTCCCCGCATGGAGATCTGCATCCTTGGACAGGATTGGCACAGCCGCAGCCGTAGCTGTGGCCTTGGTGACTCTCAGGTCCTTGGCATTCCTGGCCATCCTGGCTAATTTGTAGTCGCCACTTCGACTTCAGGGAGTCGTGCCCCGTATGAGTGATTTCACGCAACTTGCAGAGAGGGCATTACAATCTGGATCGAGTGATTCTAGTTCCCTGCATGGCGCGGATGGTCACCTGAGTGTCGACCCTCCGAAACGCTCTGTCCAGTTCTGCCGCGAAGGCTTCACGAATCAATTTCGGAGGGTCTTTCGTTTTGCACGGGTGGCCACGCAGCGTCGCAATTGTTTTCTTTGTACATCCTTTTTGGGGACATCTCTACAAAAGGGCTCTCGTCTCGGCTTCCTCCGACCTGGTGGCGCTGTCAGCTTCCTGGCCCTGTCATCTGTTCCACCGGTTTCCCCTTGCTGTCTGAGCGCACGCTGCATGAAGTGTGGCAGGGAACGCAGCCCTCCCAAGCCGGGCCAAGCCGCCCCACGCTTGAAAAGTGCCATGCTGCGCAAGTCGAAAAAGAGTTGAAAGCCGTGAGGCCGCCACCTGATGAGCTCTGGTGGCCTCCTGGGAGCCATGGCCCTGGAGGCGCCGTTGGTTTGCCCCTCTACAGACTCTACAGTTTACTTGCGAGATGCAAGACTGAGTCTGAGTTTCGCGACAATGCACTGTGAGTCCAGTCGCTTGAGCTGAGCCGAAAACATAGGATTCAGAAAATGCAGCTCGCCCAAATGCAAGCGAGAGTCCACTAAGCAGAGCAGCTCGGTCACCCGGTTTGTGTGCCATTGAGCGATCCCATCACCGGTCATCGTTTACACCTCCGCACTTTCCGATTTAGCTCCTCGCACTCTGCGACGAGCCTGACTAGCCACGAACATCGTATGGGTCTGTTATGCATCTCACCTTTTGCGAAGCTGCACCCTCCTGCAATTCGAGCTTTCGCGGGCTTCCGCGGCTGCGTGCAGGCATGGATGCCTAGCCCAGCAGAAGCCTTGGGCTCCCGAGACCGCCGCGTCGCGTGAGCCAAGGGCAGCAGCTCAAGCGAGCAGATTGCGGGCGCGTGACAATCTGACATTGGTGTTGCAGGTATCCGCCGATCAACAAGAACGACCCTCGTCGATGCGAGTGGAAGACTTCACAGATTGCTCAGGCGCCTCCATTTGGGCTGAGTTAGTCCAGAGAGCAGCAAGTCTAACAAGAGGCATGTGTGGTGTGGTGCTGTATTCGTCGTCCCTCCGCTGCATGAGCGTCGCTGTGTCTCCCAATGCACCATTCGGCTGCTTTGTAGAGGCGAGCGCGCAGCGCGACAAGCTCTACGACCTGAGAGAGTGCAACCTCGCAGGCCAGAGCCGGACCTGACTTTTCTTGGAGGCTTTGGATTCGTAGGCTGCTGCTTTGGGGCATGGGCCGTATGGGGGAAAGCGACGTTCGGAAGCTCGAGGATTGAAGGCCAGCGTGCTTCAGCTGCACAGCCTCAGGATGACGAAAATCCGTACCATTTTGAGGCTTCGCAGGGTTTCGGGGGAGGAGGGGCGGTTTCTGTTCACTTGCCAGGATCCGTGTTCCTATCACGACAGCGGGCTTCGCCAACGAATACTTTCTTCTTGAGTTAAAGAGTTGAGGTCTTGCCAACCAACATCTTCTTGGGGTTTGCAAACCAACATCTGATTTTTCTATGGTACTAGTATGGGGCCTGCCACCCACGATCGTCCTGTAGTCGATCTTCTGCAGTGCGGAAACAACAGCTGCCAAGCCACTGCCCGAGATCTGGATCAACGAAACAAGACTGCAGTCCCTATCAATCCTCGATCATGCAACCAGCTTTGCAGGTGGTAGTATAGTAGTCATCGTCGCAGCTGGGGTAGTGGGGTAGTGGAGTAGTATTGTAATGGTAGTTGCAGAAATGGTAGTATCAGGCCAGCCTTTCGGAAGAGCTCGCAGGCCCTCAGCTGACGCAGCACCCTTCATTTGACATACCCAAATCTGGCCTGGCGGCCTTGACCATAAATTCAAAGAATTTGGGATTTCACAACTCGAAACGGCGAAACATCGGGTCAAGATGGCTCGGCAATATAGAGGGTCAGGCACTAGCCCCGCAGATGTCCAGTGGCAATCTATTGTTGAGAAGAGCATCTTGACGATCCAATGACGTAGATAACAGTGCTGCAGTGGTCAGTTACCATAGAGAAGAGAGCAGCCCTGCTGTGCCCAGGCACCAGTGCAGCCGACAACGATGTATCAGGCACCGCAAGAGTCACATGCATCGCTCTGCTGCTGGCTTTCGTTCCCTTAGCCCTGTTTCAGGAGCTTTGATGAACAAGGGAGACTTCTCCAACGTGAATTTTGAGAATGCGCAGTTGACCAAGGCCGGGGCCGGTCATGAGATGGCTCCTATCGTAGAGCAAATGAGCTACGCGAGTTCATATCATAAGCAGTGGCGCCGAGCACACATGTCTCCTCAGGCATGCAGTGCATGTCGCAGGTTGTCGCAGCACAAGCCAACTTCGAGGGCGCCAATTTCAAAAATTCTGTGGCGGACTGCATCTGCTTGTGCTTTGATACTCGGATAGCCGTCGTCAGCGGTTTGCCAGCAGGTGCGGTCCTTTCTGCAGAGCCTCTAGCAGGCCGTATCACAAGGTTTATTCTTGTGACATTTCCAGCAGGACCGCATGGACCTCACGAAAGCCAATTTGAAGAATGCTGCTTGACTTGATTAAGTGGGCGTGTGTGTGTGTGTGTCAAGCTGGCTCATCATCGCTTCGTGGGCCATCTAAACGTAGCTCCAGCGAGTCCAGCGAGGCAATTTTCAAGAATGCAATGCTGACCACGCCTTGCACTCAAATATCTCCGACAAGCGAGAGTTCTAGGACCGCCGTTTTTGGCAGGTCCAGCTTTGAGGAAGCAAATGTGGAGGGTGCTGATTTCACAGACGTGACTCCGGCATGTGCTTTCTTTCCTAAGCTGAGAAGCTCCGCCGTCACCAGGCCTTCTTGGACAGTCAAAGCGTTCGGGTGCTGTGCACCAACCCGACAATGAAAGGCTGCGCCAGCAGACACAGAAGCACCCGATTCAGTTCATATGTTCCTTGCAGTTTGCCTTTCTTTCCGTGGAGGAACGAACCCAGTGACCGGGGCCGACACTTATCTAAGTGCAGGTCCACGCCTCACTCGGCACTAGCTACTAGCAACTCCAAAGCTCGGTGTGCGCTCGCGATTCAGCCAAGGTTGTGACATCCAGGATGCGGGAGCAATCCCGCTTCGCTGAGCGATCCCAGCTTGTTTCACTTGAATCTTATTAGATCTCTCGGCAATGGATGCCCCCCGCGTGATCTCCGTGCGATGCGATGAAATTGCAACGCGTCCTTGCCGCGCGCGCAAACCCTACATGCACGGTTGAGAGATCGACAGTTTCAAATGACAGCCAGTCAGTTTCTGACAAGAGACAAAGCTATCTGCAGCACGTCAACCTCTATGCGACAGCCATGTCCTTCTGTGGGCCACTGACTCATGAGATTCGAGAGCCAGAAAATCTCTGCTATCACTACTAATCAGCTGCCGTTGCAGAAAGTCAGAAAGCAGCAATGTCGTATGGAACCTACAAATATGACGGCTTCGGGGGAGGACTGCAAGCTCCAGCTGAAGTTCACATGTGCCGCGCCAGTTGTAGCTGCGTGTTCCCTTCCAGGATACGGAAACTACATGGGAGGCGGGTCCGCAAAAAGGGGCTGTGAACGCTTGCAGACAGTACACTCGCGTGGACCAATGCAGCTGGCAGTCTGACGGATTCTGTCATGTGAGGTGGGTGCCTGCTCCGTGTTGTCTCATAGTTTGAACCATTTTGAACCTTTCCCTCTCTTGAAGACAGGGTTTCAATAAAGCCTTGGAAACTCCCCTTTCGGTACATGCGTAGCACACCCTCTTGAGGAGCCGTGGGCACCATGCAGACGGCCTCTCTGCCCACGCAGGAGCAGTGTTTAGACTGCTGGGTTCACAGTTGAGCATATACAATCAAGCTGTCGTCGTTTTGGATTCTCAATGCACCGGAGCAGGCTGTTGGCACGAACAGCGGTGCAGCTTTCCAGCGCACAGCCTTCTCTGGCAATGTCCTGGTCTCGGATGTCAGCACATGGGACTTGGCTGTTGCTGGAAAGCCCATGCCATGTCAGACTGCGGCCATGGCAACGCAAAACGTCGCCGATGTGGGGCAGCCAGAGCCGCAGATTCCAGATCACAGGGACTCGGGCTTTACGGGCGTCAGCCTCTGGGCCAGGGCCCGGACTCGTAGGCGAGCAGCGTTTGCCTTTTAACTCTTGGAGGCATTTCCTTAATGACCCTCATCTTGATTGAGGTTCAAAACAATGACTCCAGACGCGCCGTCCTTAATTGACCGATTTGGGTTTGGTTCTCTGCTCGTTCTCGTTGTTAGAAGCCGTTGGCCACGACGGCAGTGACATGCATGGAGCATGGCCTCGGCGGGGGTCTGCGGCGAAAGTAACCCACATCTTTTGAAAGGCTTCTTGCCGTAGCAATTCCCTGCCATGTCTCCGGTTGCTCTGCAGATGCCCCGTCCGTGCCTGCTTGCCAGGCCATGAAGACACAGCCGGCAGGGGCCTTCACGAATTATGCCGAAAGCTGAGTCGGACTACTGACTACTGAAAGAGCTCAAAGCCTCTGTTGGCAAGCCGCGGCAAAATGCTTGCAAGCTGTTCTTCAGGATGCCATGGCTACTCGTCCTCCACAAAGCTATTCGTCTGAAATGGATGCCTCGAATTCATCCGGGCCGGGTTGCGTTGCACTACAACCGGCTTCAGGTTGCCAATACGGGATACAACGGGTTCAGGGTCGATCAGTTTGGCTCCAGTCTGGAACACATTTCAGGAGTACTGGGTGTGAGTGTGGGAGACATGTCAACGATTGAATGTTTGCAGGATAGGAAAGTGATCTTGATAGAGGGCATCACGATGGGTCACAGAGCAAAAGCACACACCGCAGACTGCGCCATATGCCGCACGCTTGCGGCCAGGGCCATCTCTGGTGACACTCCGACATCCTTGTCTGTTACCTTGGCCTGCAAGAGGCCTGAGTTTAATGCATGATTCAAGCGAGGCTACGGCGGCGGCTGTGGCACGCAGAACTTTGCCGGGTATGGAGGCTACAGTCAAGGCTATGCTGGCCAGGGCTACGGAGCAGGTAGGCAGCGAACGGACGTGCATTGATGAAGTCTCGTGGTGCTGAGCCTGAGGTGCACAGGCGACAGGTGCTGCAGGGTTTCGAGCTGAGCATTGAGTGCATCTTGATGTTGTGCCTCCAGCTCACGGTTGACGCATGTCTCCCCGTCAGGTCATATGGCCAGGGATGTGGTCAAGCATACCAAGGTTATGGAGGTTATGCAGGTGCCGGATATGGTGCACCAGACCAAACATATGGCAATGCCTATGGCCCCGGATATGGTGGAACCGGGTATGGTGGTGGACAAGGTGGTCAGGGTGGTTGCGGCTACGGCTACGGCCCGTCGGGATACGGGCAAGGCGCCTTTGCATGCTGTCACATTCACGTCACTTCGTTTGGAGACTATGATGCTGACGGAAGTTTCGAACTAACAGGCACAGGTTACGGCTACGATGCTCGTGGTTACAACGGAGCCTCGTCGGCACCACGAGGCATCTGAGCACACACAAGCTGCAATGCTCAAAGTGCGATCAGGCTTGCAAGATGCTGCGGCTGCCACACAGCAGTTGTCCGCGCAACAAGTGTACAACAAGGATGTCCAGCTCCTAGCCGTCGGCCCTACTGCAGACACCGTGATGCATGAAGTTGAGAGTACATGTTTGATGCCCAAAGCGACATGAAGCAAGCGTTCCGCTCTCGCTCTATCTCCCTCAACGCACACTCTCTGTCTCTTTGTTTGCACACAGCATGCACATGTGTGTGCTGCAGATGCGGGGATGGCAGCAAGAGCAACTGCTGCAGAAAGTGTCCCACGTGGCGTCGTCGAGCAAAACTCCGACAAATCTGACAATTCACTGACGACCGGGAGCGTTTTCTCTCACATGAGGTGTCCGGATCCTTTGTACGTGGTGGTGGCATGTACGGCCCAGCTCTCGATTGCCCAGACAAGGGTCGAAGTTGTGAGACAGCCTGGGCCCAGGTGGGGCACCCGGCTACAATGCATACGCTGGATATCCTCCAGGCAGTCACCTGCATCTGCTCGAGAGAGCTGCGCTTAATTCAACTGCTTGGTACAGGAGCTGGAGGTGGACAGGTGGCAATGGGTTCTAGTCTCAGTCAAAGATCACAAGAGCACTAACAGAGGTCCGACAGATGCATGGTTTTGCTGTCAAGGCCGGAAGCCACGCGCACGGCGCAGTGTGTGCTGCTGAGCAGCGGTCAGACACAGAATCTTCAGCGAGGCCTGCCCCGTGGCCACGGGCTAGGTTGCACGCAATTTCACACGCCACCGCGCGACCTCTACCGATCAATTCGAGAAGACCAACAACATTAATTATTAGCTTTGTGATGATTCGTCATGATTTTGCAAATGTCATGTCTCTACAGCTGTGAACAGCGACCCCCTACTTGATTTCGTTTCGCTTCAATTTCGTACGATAAGCAAGAATACGATATGAAGGGTTGCAGCATCAGCAGCATGACTACCTCCAGATTGCTGTTTGCTAGGCATTGATAGTCAGTACCAACGTTTGTTAAAGCTCCTAGCCAGCATCGAGTCGTGGATTTAGAATAGTGGTCGTGTTGTGTGTGTGTGTGTATGCATGCACAAGTATCTGTATATCTTGACCGTTTCATGACGACGAGACATATCGGAAATTTCGACGCATCTAAATACAAATGAAATCTGCGGCTATACATTGAAAAACGATCCACGAGCATCAGAACCGCATGGAAGTGCCTGCTAATTTATTGATTTGATTTGGATGTAAAAGATATCTCTAGATAGAGAACTAAGAATATGATAGAATATTAGACAACGATAATATACTATTATATTGAATATATTGGTCGTTTTCATTTGAATATCTAATCTGCTTCGTTCTTGGTCGGTTAATATAATATTGATTGGAATTTAGAATATTCATATTAATAAGACTCAGATTCACGATATATAATTTTTTATATTTATAAGATTTAGTATTATTACGAGAATATGATTAGATTATAGAGAAATTTATTATATACGTTTAAACTATTAAATTAAATATATATTTATTCGAATATTTC